ATTAGTTCACAAGACCCTATCTCAGAAAACCCATCACAAATAAAAGGTGGAGGAGGTCAAAGTGTAGGCCCTGAGTTTAAACCCCAGTACCACAAAAAAAAAAAAAACACAAATAGTAGCAGAATGCAAAACTGAAGAGGTCCTAATAGTGACCATTGCTGTCTGACTCCCTAGAGGTCAGACAAGTGGCTTATGGGTTAAATCTATTCCCTGCCCTGTTCACTTGGAGCCCAGTCTCCCTCTGGTGTTGCATTGTCCAGCCTGAGGACTTGTGCCTGAGGCCAGATGTCCCACAAATAGCACCCCTTCTCTTCTTCATGTGTTTCTCCACTAAGTTCATCTGTGACAGTTTTTGTTAGTGGGAACATTTGCTTCATCTTTCAAAGGCTGTCTAGTCCTGGCTTGCAGAGTATTTCTGTAGACACCGTTCATGCATCCCTTGACACCACGTGATCTTCCCTTCAGTATGATGTGATTTGGGGGATGCTAAGTTTATTGCGTGAAATCACTATCTCCCTGTTTTCTCAATGCCTATCTGTTTTCCTAACTGTGCATATGGCTGGGATCCTTTGTCCTAATTCTGCTTTAAGTAGATCTTTCCCTGTGGTGGTCCCCCTCCATCAGCTGCTACTTCTCTTCAGCCCTATTCTCACCTGTGTGCCCATCAATATACTGAGGAGTTGTCATTTCTCTGCACAAAAGGGGCCTTCTTTCAGCCAGGTTTTATGCTCTTGTGGTGCTGGCAATCAAACCCAGGGCCTTGCACATGCTAGGTGAGTGCTCTACCACTGAGCTACATCCCCACCCCTTAGGGAGCATGTCTTTCATGTGGCAAAATATTGCTAAAGGTTTACAATGTTGATATATTTACAAATATTTCAGACTCGAGGGTATTCTTATATGTGTAAAGAGTTAAAGATATATGAAACTGTATTTACTAAACTTAGCATTCCATGTTTAGGGAACAACTGAAGTTTCTAGGATGGTTGAGTTTTAATTTTTATTAATTTTTAAATTACCATGTATGTATTACACAAAGGGGTCTCATTGTAATATGTCCAAAAAATGCATGTGTTTTGATCAACTTCACCCCTCTATTATTTTCTTATCCTCCCCCCTGACTTTTCCACAATTTTCAATAGACTTTATTCTATTTTCATACAGGCATATAAAGTAATTCAGTAATTTTTTATTCATTAGCATATAATTGTACATGTTTATGGGGTACTAGGATTTTAATCCATGTGTACAGTGATCAGGGTGATAACCATATCCATCACCTCAAACATGTATCATTTCCTTATGCTCAGAGCATTTAGGATCCTTCCTTTTAGCTAACTGGAAATATACAATTCATTACTGCTGGGCCAGGCATTCTGGTTCACACCTGTAATCCCAGCACTCAGGTGGCGGAGGCAGAGGCAGGAGGATTGCATGGTCAAGGCCAGCTGGAGCTACATACCAAGACTCTGTCTGAAAGAAATACTACATTATTGCTAACAATCCCCTCAGTGTGCCATGTAGCACTATAACTTATTCCTCCAGATGACAGTATTTTTGAACAGAGCCCCAACAGCTTCTCCTCTCCTACCTTTCCCCGGGCCTGTGACCATGATTCTGTTCTCTGCTTCTGAGATCCACCTATGCAACTCCCACCTGTGAGTGGGGTCTTAGCTCCAGGTTGGGAGAAAGTGATTGTTGCCTACTCTTACCAATGCTTTCAGCATATAGAAAGTAAACAGGTTAGCACAAAGCAGGGAGGGTTTCTCCAGAGGGTACGTAGATTAATAAAAACCCTGCCTCTTCAAGCCAGGTGTGTGGTTTTGTGGTGTTTGGATGCTTAGCATATGTGAGGCATTGGTTCAACTGCCAACACTGAGGAAAAAACAGTCTTGCCACTTGTTTTTTTTTTTTGTTTTTTTTTTTTTTTTACTTTTTGAGACACTCTCTTTTAATGGAATAGGAATTCCAAAAACTTGGTTGGTTAGATTGACTTTATCCTGCATCCCGAATTTCAGACACCCTAGAGCTATAAGAATAGTTCAGTTTCACCCATACACCTGCAAATTTAAATGAATCCTAAATCTAGTTTTAATTGACAATTGTATTTGTGAGGTACAGGTGACACTTTTATATGTAAATTATAGAAAGAATAACCCAAACTAATATGTCTATCACCTCACTTTGTGGTGAAAACAAAACAAAACAAAACCTCTGGGGTGCTGGGGGCATGGTTTGTGTGGTAGAGCACCTGCTTAGCAAGTACATAGGCTTTGAGTTCAAATCCAGTCCTATAGGGTACACTCTACCATTTGAACCATTCCTCCAGCCCTTTTTTGGTCTTCTTGATACAGGTCTCACTAGGTAGCCCAAGATGGTCTGGAACTCACGGTTCTTCTGCTTCAGCCTTCCCAGTACTGCACCATTTTCATTACATGTGAATCTGGTATTTATGTACAAATGTGACAGATCAGGTATGGCCACCTTACGGAGCAATAGCTTTAAGACTTGCCCCTCCCAACTGAAACCTGTAGTCTCTGACCAACAGCTCCCTCCACGCCTAACCCTGGTGACCACCATTCCTGTCTCTACTTCTGTGGGTTGGACTTTCTTAGGCTCCATGTGGGAGTGACATAGCACTCAGTCTAAACCAGCCACAGGAGCACCTCCCGCTGAGCACTGTGTCCATGTCACTCTGCTTGGAAGTCTGTTCTTGCTTTGTGGCTGGAGCGGGTGTCACTTGGATCTGCACGCTCCTCCTGCTGACTACTGTATGACTTCACTGGGCCCTCAGGGGTGGCCCTTGGAGAGGTGGGTGCTCTGGGTCCCATCTTCCAAGGGAGAGAGCCCAGCCTTGGAAACAAACTTAGTTATTTCCTGAAAGTTGCAGAAGTGTGACTTGAGTGCTCTGACCTGAGAGCCCAGAATTGTCACCATGGAGATGACAATGAATTTCCTATGTGGAGTCTGACCCTGAGCCTTGGTGTCACAAGGACTGAGGTCTCATGGACTTCACTAGCAGAAATCTGTTGTGGTATTATCAGCAATCCATTGTAACAGATCACTAGTGGGGTAGAAAGAGAAAAAATGAGAGAATGCAGGGAGTGGGGGTGGCCCAAACTATGACTATTGACTAGGGAAAGCCACCCTTTTTAGAAAGCTCTAAAAAGAGGGTTTTCTGTGATTATTCCCTTTTCCCAAATCCCAGGGTACAACCTGTGCCCACACACACCTCTTCTCTTGGATCAGGGTAAACTAAAATAGAACAGTGTTGAAAATGCTCGCATTTATGAAGTGGATTTTTTTTCCACAGTGGAATCTGTTGGCACTTGTCACCACCCCAACCCTTTTTTCAATATTTTCTTCTACACATCTTTATAATCTTCTCTCTTCATCCCTGTCTTAGTCTGTTTTTTCCTGTTATAAATTACCTAATCTCAGGCATTCAGTTATAAAGAACAGATTTGTTTGGTTCACTTTTGAGTGTATTTCTGGAGGCTGGGAAGTCTAAGAGCTAGCCTCTGGTGAGCTGCATTGTTCTATAATAAAAAGCCAAGAGGATGGCAGGGCCAAACTTGCTTTCATGAGAAGTATACTCTTATGGTAGCTAAACCACTCCTCTGAGAACCACGTTAATCCATTCCTGAGGGCTGAGCCCTCATGACCTAACCACCTCCCAACACAGCTTCATTAGGGCCAAGTGTTCAACATATGAACTTTAGGGGACACGGGCCAATCATTGGCATCCTTCAGCTCCCACAACCGAAGTAATTTTAGCAAACCCCTCCTGAAGTGTCCTTGTGTGCACAGGATAGACAGACAACTCACTGCTAAATGAGCTCATCTCTGTAGGAGGGAGAAGAAACCAGATGCCCCAGTCTGTCTGTGCAAGAGCAAAAGCCAGCGTTGACAGATTAGAGACTGGCTGTACCTTGGTGGGATGTCTAGGAACCAGGAAGGAGGTAGGACCTAGATAAAATCTTACTGTGTATCCACAAGTCCATCTACTGCATGTGCAGAGACAAGACGTCAAGCTAGGGTGACTGTCCGTCTGCTTGAGTTTTCAAATTGTTTTATCATATTGCTTGCCTTTGAATGTATTTTTTTTATTTTCTTTTTGGTGGTACTATTTGAACTAAGGACCACATACTTGTTAGGTAGGTAATCTAGCATACCCCAAACATTTTTGCTTTTTAATTATTTTTTGGATTAGGTGTCATGTTTTTGCCTGGACAGCCTTGGACTGCAATCCTCCCACCTGCTGCTTCCCATAGCTGGGACTACAGGTTTGTACTACAATATCCAGCTTATTGAGATGGAGTCTTGCAGACTATTTGCCCAGGCTGGCTTCAAACCCAATCCTCCTGATCTCTGCCTCCTGAGTAGCTAGGATTACAGGCATGAACCACTGATGCCTAGTTCTGGCTCTTTTTTGATATGGAGTCTTATTAACTTTGTAAGGACTTTACAAAGGGCTGGACTTTAGCCATAAGCTTTTGGAGAATCTGTGACTACAGGTATGAGCCACCATGCCCAGCCAATTTCAGCTTATTTTCATGCCAAAACTATTTGCCGTGTTTATGTAACTTGATATTAACAGGCACAGATCACCAGAAAAAAGCCATGTTACAGGTTAATAGTTGCCAGGAACCTATTGTCAGGTGCATTCAGAGATGAGTGTATTGAATCTTATTCTAAACAGATGCTGTTTGAGAACTAAGAGTACACACAACAAAATATCCCAGAACTTATATTCTAATGATGGGATAAACAGATACAGTGGCAGCTAGTGCTCTGTCTATGAGGAATTAGTGCCTGTGAGTCAGTCTGTCTCAGAATGGTTCACTGTATCACTCACCCAGGGATCAAGTGTGAACGTGACAATTTGTGGGATTACCTGTTAAGTCTTGCCACTCTTTCTTCACAGAAAGGATATTCACGCCATATTACCAAAGAATAGTGTCTTTGCCCAAAACCTGACCTCTCAGCCTCACTCCATGATGAAAGAAGACCACTTACCCTTCTTCTCCAGCTACAGGCTGCAGTGGTGCCTCAAGGATCTGGACAAGGAAGAATTCCAACGGTTTAAGGAAATACTAAAAGAAAAATACTCTGACATGACCATTTGTCCTCTTCCGTGGGTCACAGTGGATAATGCCAGTGTGGAGCGGCTGGCCTCCCTCTTGCATGAGTATTACATGGGACCCCTTGCCTGGGCAGTGACCATTAACATCTTGGAAGACATGAACCTGTTACCCCTCTCTGACAAAGCAAGACATGAGATGAAAAGTAAGACTTATGGCAAGTCTGGGGGTGGGCAGAGAAGAGGGAATCCTGAGTTCTCATGAGGATGGGGCATCTATCATTGTAGGGTAAGTCTGAACTATAAGAAATGCCTCACTGTGCAGTCCAGCCTGTGAGGCAGGGTGGTCACCTCCACCACCTGACAGAATTCGGCTGAGATTTGTAGACAGGGTTTCATTATAATGCTAAGCTTGAGCTCTGGCATTATCACTTGTTACTGTGTGAGTTTGTGCAAGTCTCCTCCTATTCAGACCCTTGGATTCCACACCTTGGAATCGAAGCTCCTGGTGTCACATTGAATGTGACATTATAAAGGTTCCACGTAGTGTATAGAAAGCAGCTCGCACTCCTATTGAGAAGACTGCTGAGGATTGTCCACTGGGGTCTCCCATTCAACCCAGGCTGAGGAACTCGGGTTCAAGGCCCAGATCTGAGCAGCCTTTCTGAGATGGTCATATCACGTAGCAGCAGTGGACTTCAGTCATACTGCAATTATGTTAGAGTATTTAGGAGAAAGGTCATTGTAAAAAGATAACAGTCCTCCTTTATCAAAGGAAATGCTCTTCAACTGGTGACTAAAAAGTAAATCTTAGAGGAAATCGTTCTGTGTAGCCAAGACTACAGGAATTACTCACAGCCCTCCTTTGACTTGCTGCCCTTCTGAGCTCTGCAGAAGCACCAGTGAAAGGCATGCTGGGATTGTTTGCAGGAAGTGAGGGAAGATAAACGAAAGTGATGGCTAATATTCACTGAGTCGAGGCGGCAGTCAAGCTCTGCACTGAAACGTGCCCCATGCACCTTTCTCAAACCACTGAGAATATTTGCTCCCCAAGGCCCTAAAATAGAGCCTTGTGACCAAGCCCATGAGCTGATAAGTGGCAAAGTTGAGGTTCACTATTTATTTAATTTTTTTTTCTTTTTTTTTTATTTATTTTTTTCTTTTATTATTCATATGTGCATACAAGGCTTGGGTCATTTCTCCCCCCTGCCCCCACCCCCTCCCTTACCACCCACTCCGCCCCCTCCCTCTCCCTCCCCACCCCCTCAATGCCCAGCAGAAACTATTTTGCCCTTATTTCTAATTTTGTTGTAGAGAGAGTATAAGCAATAATAGGAAGGAACAAGGGTTTTTGCTGGTTGAGATAAGGATAGCTATACAGGGATTGACTCACATTGATTTCCTGTGCGTGTGTTACCTTCTAGGTTAATTCTTTTTGATCTAACCTTTTCTCTAGTTCCTGGTCCCCTTTTCCTATTGGCCTCAGTTGCTTTAAGGTATCTGCTTTAGTTTCTCTGCGTTAAGGGCAACAAATGCTAGCTAGTTTTTTAGGTGTCTTACCTATCCTCACCCCTCTTGTGTGCTCTCTTTTATCATGTGCTCAAAGTCCAATCCCTTGTTGTGTTTGCCCTTGATCTAATGTCCACATATGAGGGAGAACATACGATTTTTGGTCTTTTGGGCCAGGCTAACCTCACTCAGAATGATGTTCTCCAATTCCATCCATTTACCAGCAATGATAACATTTCGTTCTTCTTCATGGCTGCATAAAATTCCATTGTGTATAGATACCACATTTTCTTAATCCATTCGTCAGTGGTGGGCATCTTGGCTGTTTCCATAACTTGGCTATTGTGAATAGTGCTGCAATAAACATGGTGTGCAGGTGCCTCTGGAGTAACCTGTGTCACAGTTTTTGGGTATATCCCCAAGAGTGGTATTGCTGGATCAAATGGTAGATCAATGTCTAGCTTTTTAAGTAGCCTCCAAATTTTTTTCCAGAGTGGTTGTACTAGTTTACATTCCCACCAACAGTGTAAGAGGGTTCCTTTTTCCCCGCATCCTCGCCAACACCTGTTGTTGGTGGTGTTGCTATGATGGCTATTCTAACAGGGGTGAGGTGGAATCTTAGTGTGGTTTTAATTTGCATTTCCTTTATTGCTAGAGATGGTGAGCATTTTTTCATGTGTTTTTGGCCATTTGAATTTCTTCTTTTCAGAAAGTTCTGTTTACTTCACTTGCCCATTTCTTTATTGGTTCATTAGTTTTGGGAGAATTTAGTTTTTTAATTCCCTATATATTCTGGTTATCAGTCCTTTGTCGGATGTATAGTTGGCAAATATTTTCTCCCACTCTGTGGGTGTTCTCTTCAGTTTAGAGCCATTTCTTTTGATGAACAGAAGCTTTTTAGTTTTATGGTCCCATTTATCTATGCTATCTCTTAGTTGCTGTGCTGCTGGGGTTTCGTGAGAAAGTTCTTACCTATACCTACTAACTCCAGAGTATTTCCTACTCTTTCCTGTATCAACTTTAGAGTTTGTGGTCTGATATTAAGATCCTTGATCCATTTTGAGTTAATCTTGGTATAGGGTGATATACATGGATCTAGTTTCAGTTTTTTGCAGACTGCTAACCAGTTTTCCCAGCAGTTTTTGTTGAAGAGGCTGCTATTTCTCCATCGTATATTTTTGGCTCCTTTGTCAAAGACAAGTTGGTTATAGTTTTTGTGGCTTCATATCTGGGTCCTCTATTCTGTTCCACTGGTCTTCATGTCTGTTTTTGTGCCAGTACCATGCTGTTTTTATTGCTACTGCTTTGTAATATAGTTTGAAGTCAGGTATTGTGATACCTCCTGCATTGTTCTTTTGACTGAGGATTGCCTTGGCTATTCGTGGCTTCCTGTGTTTCCATATAAATTTCACGGTAGATTTTTCAATCTCTTTAATGAATGTCATTGGAATTTTGATGGGAATTGCATTAAACATGTAGATTACTTTTGGGAGTATTGACATTTTTACTATGTTGATTCTACCAATCCATGAGCATGGGAGATTGCTCCACTTTCTATAGTCTTCCTCAATCTCTTTCTTCAGAAGATCAAAAAGAATTAACCTAGAAGGTAACACACACGCACAGGAAATCAATGTGAGTCAATGCCCTGTATAGCTATCCTTATCTCAACCAGCAAAAACCCTTGTTCCTTCCTATTATAGCTTATACTCTCTCTATAACAAAATTAGAAACAAGGGCAAAATAGTTTCTGCTGGGCATTGAGGAGGTGGGGGAAGAAGAAGGGGGTGGAGTCGGTGGTAAGGGAGGGGGTGGGGGCAGGGGGAGAAATGACCCAAGCCTTGTATGCACATATGAATAATAAAAGAAAAAAAAGAAGTGTGTAGTTTTCCTTGTAGAGGGCTTTCACATCTTTTGTTAGGTTTACACCTAGGTATTTGATTTTTTTTGAGGCTATTGTAAATGGAATTATTTTCATGTATTCTTTTTCAGTTTGCTCATTAATAGTGTATGGAAATGCTAATGATTTTTCTATGTTGATTTTATATCCTGCTACCTTGCTATAGCTATTGATTATGTCTAGAAGCTTCTGAGTAAAGTTTTTTGGGTCTTTAAGGTACAGGATCATGTCATCTGCAAATAGGGATATTTTCACAGTTTCTTTACCTATTTGTATTCCTTTTATTCCTTCTTCTTGCCTAATTGCTCTGGCTAGGAATTCCAGTACTATGTTGAATAGGAGTGGAGATAGTGGACTTCCTTGTCTGGTTCCTGATTTTAGAGGGAATGGTTTCAGTTTTTCTCCATTAAGTATAATGCTGGCTGTAGGTTTGTCATATATAGCTTTTATAATGTTGAGGTACTTTCCTTCTATTCCTAGTTTTCTTAGAGCTTTTATCATGAAATGGTGTTGGATCTTATCAAAGGCTTTTTCTGCATCTATTGAGATGATCAAGTGGTTTTTGTCTTTGCTTCTGTTAATGTGGTTTGTTACGTTTATTGATTTTCATGTTGAACCACCCTGCATCCTGGGATGAAGCCTACTTGGTGTGGTGAATAATCTTTTTGATGTGTTGTTGAATTGGTTTGCCATTATTTTGTTGAGGATTTTTGCATCAATGTTCATTAAGGAGATTGGCCTATAGTTCTCCTTTTTGGAGGTGTCTTTGCCTGGTTTTGGGATAAGTGTAATACTGGCTTCATAAAATGTGTTTGGCAGTTTTCCTTCCCTTTCTATTTCGTGGAACAGTTTAAGGAGGGTTGGTATCAGTTCTTCTTTAAAGGTCTGATAGAATTCAGCAGAGAATCCATCAGGTCCTGGACTTTTCTTTTTGGGGAGACTCTTGATTGCTGCTTCAATTTCATTTTGTGTTATAGTCTATTCAGGTGATTAATTTCCTCTTGGTTCAGTTTTGGATGATCATATGTATCTAGAAATCTGTCCATTTCTTTAAGATTTTCAAATTTATTTGAATATAGGTTCTCAAAGTAGTCTCTGATGATTTCCTGGACTTCCATGGTGTTTGTTGTTATCTCCCCTTTTGCATTCCTGATTCTACTAATTTGGGTTTTTTCTCTCCTCATTTTAGTCAGGTTTGCCAGGGGTCTATCGATCTTGTTTATTTTTTCAAAGAACCAACTTTTTGTGTCATTAATTCTTTGTATGGTGTTTTTGGTTTCTATTTCGTTGATTTCAGCTCTTATTTTTATTATTTCTCTCCTTCTATTTGTTTTGGGATTTTCTTGTTCTTGTTTTTCTAGGAGTTTGAGATGTATCATTAGGTCATTGATTTGGGATCTTTCAGTCTTTTTAATATATGCACTCATGGGTATAAACTTTCCTCTCAGGACTGCCTTAGCTGTGTCCCATAGGTTCCGGTAGGTTGTGTTTTCATTTTCATTGACTTCCAGGAACTTTTTAATTTCCTCTTTTATTGCATCGATGATCCATTCTTCATTAAGTAATGAGTTATTTAGTTTCCAGCTGTTTGCATATTTTTTGTCTTTACTTTTGTTGTTGACTTCTACTTTTACTGCATTGTGATCAGATAGTATGCACGGTATAATTTCTATTTTCTTATATTTGCTGAGACTTGCTTTGTGCCCTAGGATATGATCTATTTAGGAGAAGGTTCCATGGGCTGCTGAGAAGAATGTATACTGTGTAGAAGTTAGATGAAATGTTCTGTAGACATCAACTAGGTCCATTGATCTATTGCATATTTTAGATCTTGGATTTCTTTATTTGGATGACCTATCTATTGATGATAATGGGGTGTTAAAGTCTCCCACAACCACTGTGTTGGTGTTTATATATGCTTTTAGGTCTTTCAGGGTATGTTTGATGAAATTGGGTGCGTTGACATTGGGTGCATACAGGTTGATCATTATTATTTCCTTTTGGTCTATTTCCCCTTTTATTAGTATGGAATGTCCTTCTTTATCTCATTTGATCAATGTAGGTTTGAAGTCTACTTTGTCAGAGATAAGTATTGCTACTCCTGCCTGTTTTGGGGGGGCCATTGGCTTGGTAAATCTTCTTCCAGCCTTTCATCCTAAGCCTATGCTTATTTCTGTGGTGAGATGGTCTCCTGTAAGCAAAAATTGTTGGATCTTCCTTTTTAATCCATTTTGTCAAGTGTGCCTTTTGATGGGTGAATTAAGTCCATTAACATTAAGTGTTAGTACTGATAGGTATGTGGTGATTCCTGTCATTTAGTTGTCTTAGTTGTTTGAAGGTTTGATTGTGTGTACCTAAGTTGAGGTTACTCTCTACTTCTTGCTTTTTCTTTTCCTGTGGTTTGGTGCTGCCTGTCTTTTCATGGTTAAGTTGGGTTTCACTTTCTGTGTGCAGAATCCCTTGAGAATCTTTTGTAGTGGTGGCTTTGTGGTCACATATTGTTTTAGTTTCTGCTTATCATGGAAGACTTTTATTGCTCCATCTATTTTGAATGATAGTTTTGCTGGTAGAGTATCCTGGGGTTGAAGTTATTTTCATTCAGTGCCCGGAAGATCTCACCCCATGCTCTTCTTGCTTTTAATGTTTCTGTTGAGAAGTCTGCTGTGATTTTGATGGGTTTACCTTTGTATGTTACTTGTTTTTTCTCTCTTACAGCCTTCAATATTCTTTCCTTAGTTTTCTGAACTTGTTGTTTTAATGATGATATGTCGTGGGTAGTTCTATTTTGATCTGGTCTGTTTGGTGTCCTGGAGGCCTCTTGCATCTGTATGGGAATATCTTTCTCTAGATTTGGGAAATTTTCCGTTATTATTTTGTTGAATATATTACGCATTCCCTTGCTTGCACCTCTTCTCCTTCTTCGATGCCCATGATTCTCAAGTTTGGTCTTTTGATGGAGTCAGTGAGTTCTTGCATTTTCTTTTCACAGGTCTTGAGTTGTTTAATTAATAGTTCTTCGGTTTTTCCTTTAATTACCATTTCATCTTCAAGTTCTGAGATTCTGTCTTCTGTTTGTTCTATTCTGCTGGATTGGCCTTCCGTTTTGTTTTGCAGTTCTGTTTCGTTCTTTTTTCTGAGGTTTTCCATATCCTGGCTGTTTCCTCTTTAATGTTGTCTTTTTTGTCCTGAGTTCATTTATCTGTTTTTCATCGTGTTCTCTCTTTCACTTTGGTGTTTATACAGTGCTTCTATGGTTTCCTTTATTTCTTTTTTGCTTTTTTCAAATTCTCTATTTTTGTTGTCTTGGAATTTCTTGAGTGTCTCCTGTACATTTTGGTTGACCCTATCCAGTATCATCTCTATAAAATTCTCATTGAGTACTGTAGTATGTCTTCTTTTAAATTATTCTTGTGGGCTTCATTGGGTCCTTTGGCATAGTTTATCTTCATTTTGTTGGAGTCTGGATCTGAGTATCTGTTTTCTTCATTCCCCTCTGGTTCCTGTACTAATTTTTTGCTGTGGGGAAACTGGTTTCCCTGTTTTTTCTGTCTTCCTGTCATTGTCTTGGTGTTGTTACTGTCCCTGTACTGTGTGCAATTAAGTATTTTCTAGCTTGTAATAATAACAATGGTAATATTTAGAATGGAAGGGTGAGCTGAGATGGAAAGCAAGAAGTTAAAGAAAAGGGAAAAACAAATAGACAAGGGGAGAAAACAGAACAAGGTTCAGACAAGAAGTTTCAAAGGTATAAACAGGGAGCTTTAGTGTACTAATCGACAGTAAGCTGAACAGACATTAGAGAGACAGAGGATTGAAAATCAAAATAAAAAAAAATAAGAATAAAAATAAAAAATAAGTAAATGAAAGAAAAATCTATTATAAAATGAAAAAAAAATGAAAAAAAAAAATTAAAAAAACAAAAAACCTCCAAGTTCAAATGCAGTGAAGTCTCAGTCTCCAATCCTGGAGATGGTGCCTCAGATGTTGTTCTATAACTGTCTCATCAAAGGGGATGCATAAAGAAGAACAAAACTACACACACATGCACAATAAAACCCCACCAAGTGTCCCAAGTTCAAATGCAATACAGTTTCAGTAAGTTTTTCAGCTTGCAGGTGTAATTTGGTTGTTCTCTCATCAAAGGTAGGGAGACAAAAAAAAAGAGTCTGGAGACAGTTCTGAGAATGGTATCTGCAACTGTGGCTTGCCTGCCTGCTGCTGTCAGCCTGCTGTTGCCGGAGGCGTTATTTATGCAGATCTCTGGGGTGAGCTTAGCACTCACCTGGCCCTGCAAGCTTTGTTTGCTCAGATTTCCCCTGTGTGGGAGCCTCTGCTACAAGCTTTCCCCTTTCCAAACACTGGGAAAGGTGACATTGCACCCGCGTTGTTAGGCCTGCATGTTTATTTACAGTTCATGTGGGAGGTGGGTCTTCCCCCCTCTCCTGTGCAGTTCTCCCACCTCCACTTTCACAAGCTTTCCTGCTCCTGCTTACTGTGTGGTGCTGCTGCTCCTGCCAGCTGCCATGTTTGTTTACAACTCACATGGGAAGTGGGTCTTCCCTCCTCTCCTGTGGAGTTTTCCTCCCTCCACCACTCTCACCAGCTTTCCCGCTCCTGGTTGCTGGGCATGCACCCTGCCCCCGCTCCTGCCAGAGACTCTCTGGCCCACCCGGCTTATTTATTTACAGTCCCAGGAAGGATTCCCTTCCCCCAATCTTTGGCGCTCGGTGTGCCCCCCACCCCTTCCCTGCATGTCTTTATTGTTCTTGTTGCTTATTACTCAGTTTCTCTCTTTTCCCCGGGTGGAGGTTGGTTGTCCAGGGGGCTATGCTGCTCTGGCCCAGGCTTGTCTGTGGGAGTACCGTGGTACCTCAAAGCTCACCTGGTCCGTGTCGTCCCAAGCCGTCTGGGCACTGGCTGCCTGGGGCCCTCCTTTTTCTCTGTTTAACATGAAGTGGAGATTCTCTGGACCGACTGGAGGTGTGGAGGGGTCAAAGTTATGCCTTTTCTCAGTGATTATGCCAGCAAAGTGTGTCTCCAGTGTCTCTCCAAAATTTCACTATAGGAGGCTCGCTTTCTGCTTCCTCCCTCTAGCTGCCATCTTGGAATCCTCCAAGGTTCACTATTCAACATTCACTTAGCAAATATTCATTCTTCATTGTCAGCTACCAAAGACATAACTGTCAGTGTGCTAGGAAAGAGAGCAATAGTGGATTTTTTTTAAATTAACATAAATCAGTTGTACAAAGGGGTTTCCTTGTGGCACAAGTTGTATATAAGGTACTTTGATCAAGTTCACCTCATCTGTTATTTCTTAGCCACTCTTCCTTTTTAACAGTTTCTGATAGGTTTCATTGTGCTGTTTTTACACATATAATGTACTTCTGTCATATTCACCCCTATAAGTGGATCTTAATCTTAAAAATAGATGGTGTAGAAAAGCCGTAAGAGAGGTTCCTACTCCAGACTAGAGGGTTATGATGTCTAAGACCACGTCTTAGAAGAAGAAAGGTTGAAGTTGAAACAACAATGAAGGTGAATTGGCTAAGTGAGTTTGGCAAACATTAGCAATGTCAGGAAGCCTTTCACAGAGAAAGGTTTGACTAAGCTGTGAGGAGGGGCAGGGGATCAAGGAATGGGCTAAAAGTCAGATCTCACAGCATGTTTAGTGGGTGGGGTAGCAATGATCAAATTGGAAGCTGGAGGAATGACTCAAGTGGTAAAGCACCTGCCTAGCAAGCACAAGACCCTGAGTTCAAATCCCAGTACCGCCAAAATGCTTAAGACCAGGGCACTCTTTGTGGCACAACTCTGGGGTGTCCTTGTGCACTCTGGGATGTCTCTGTGCTTCTGAATAGAAGGACCTGACTCCATGCCCACATCATATAGGTAAACTGAGCTCTAAGGTCTGTCTTCATTCCCCTCAGTGATTTTGGTAGGGGACAACCCTTATCCTTGGCTTGGGTGATTGCTATGACTTTACTGATGCCATTCTTTTTCTCTCTGTTGCAGGATGTTCAATACTAGAAGATTCTGAGCCCATAAAGACTGACCAAGGACCACGTGAAGAGGAGGAGCCAGGTTCGTGCAGGGGCAATGCAGAGGTGGATGTCCTTGAAGCATGTGGTTAACAGTTGTACAGCAAGGACTAGACCCCTGACTCTCTTTTCTCTTGGTAGTAGTTAAGGTTTTTTATATGACTTGTTATTTTTAGTATATTAACCATTGCTGTTACCTAAATCCAGAGATTATCACTCCCTCAAAAAAGCTTCTCCCCATTAGCAGTCATTCCTGATACAACCCCCTAGACCCAGCCCAAGGAAATTGCTGATATCCTTTCTGTGTCTGAATTTTCTCATCCTGGACCTTTTACAACAGTGGCACCTACAGTCTGTAGCAGTTTGCAACTGATTTCCTTCTTAGCAGATTGTAAACATTTGTCCATGGCATAACATGGCAGTTATGTGTCCTTTCGGTTGAATAATTTCCTTTATGGATATACCAGTCCTTTTACATTTACCACCCTATGAACACTGGGTTGTTTCCATTTGGAGCTACTATGAATCTTAAGTTACATATGTTTGTGTGGCTGTATTTTTTCAATTTTTTAAAATTTTTTGTTCATTTATTCACATGCACATACATTGTTTGGGTCATTTCTCCACCCTGCCCCCCTCCCCCACCCTTCCTCCCCACCCATGTTTTCAATTTTGCAAGATATCTACCTAAGAGTGGAATTGTTGGGTCATGGCAATTGTGTTTAACTCCTGGAGGAACTACCAAAATAACTGTACATTTTCATTCTCACCAACAATTAAGGAGGGTTGCACTGACATCAGGTACTATGTATCGATGGCAGCCATCCTAGTGGGTATGCAGTAATACTTCTGATTTTGATTTGAATTTCCCTAATCATGTTGAGGTGTGTGTTCGTATTGGCTATTTCTATATTTTATTTAGAGAAATGTATGTTCAAATCATTTGCCCCTTTTTGGGCAGTGCTGGGGTTTGAACTCAAGAGCCTCACACTTGCTAGGCAGGTGCTCTACCACTTGAGCCACTCTGCCAGCCCTTACAGTGGTTATTTTTGAGATAGGGTCTTGCTTTATAACTTGGTTAGCCTGGACTGTGATCCTCCTGTTTGAGCTCACAGCTAGAATGACAGCCATGGTACTGCACCCAGTCATTGGTTGAGATGGGAGCTCACGAACATTTTTCCTGGGCCTGCCTCAAAGCAGGATCATTTTGATCTCAGCCTCCTGAGTAACTAGGATTACTCTGCACCCAGCCATCCTTTGCCCATTTAAATTTTTGTTGTTGAGTTGTAATACATTATGCATTCTTGACACTTGATCCTTCAGACTCATGATTGAAAGATATCTTCTCATATGCTCTGGATTCTCTTTTGATTTTCTTGATGGTGACCTTCATGGAACAAAATATTTTAATTTTTTTTTGCAGTGCTGGGGTTTGAACTCAGTACCTTAACTGTGAGCCACTACACCAGCACTTTTTTTTGTGATGGGTTTTTTTGAGGTAGGGGCTCGTGAACTATTTGTCTGGGCTGATTTTGAACCTTGATCCTCCTGATCTCTGCCTTCTGAGTAGCTAGGATTACAGGTGTGAGCCACCGGCACCTGGCTGGTCTTAATTTTTGTGAATTCAAATTGTTTATTTGCTTACCTATGCTGTTAGTGTTATACCTTAAAATTACTGTCCAACCCAATTCATGAGGGCACACAACAGTATTTCTTTTTTATAGTCATAGCTCTTAAAAGCATTTAGTTGTTTGATACATTTTGAGTAAATTGTTGAATATTGTGTGAGGCAGGGAGCCCAATTCATTCTCTTGCCTCTGAATACTGACTTTGAGAAACTTTAGTGGAAGTCTATTCTTTCCCTTGCTGAATCACCTAATATCAGTCGAACAGAAATAGGGTTTATTTTTCTAATAGCAGTTGCATACAGACGTATGGGTTTATTTTTGGCCTCCCAATTCTATTCCATTGACCTATGTTTGTCCTTGTGCCAATACCACTTGATAGCTGTTTCTTTATAGTAAGTTTTGAAATCACGAGGTATGTCTGATTCACTGACTAGTCTACAAGATTTCTGTGCCATTCTGGGTCCCTTGGATTTCCATACAAATTTTAGTATTAACTTGTAGCAAAAGAAAAGTTCAGCTAGGCTGAACTTTTGGGTATGGATTGCATTAAAGCACATAGATCAACGTTGAGTAAATTTCCCTGTTAATAATATTTAGTCTTCCAGCCCATTAACACAGGATGGTCTTCTTACTAAGGGATTTTTTTTCAATATGTTTGTGGTTTTCAGTAAACAAGTCTTATGCTGCATCTTGGGGTTTGGGGGGGTTCTGGCACCTCTTATTCGAGTAGCAAGAGTAAGTACATTAGGGTTTTTACTCTCCCTTTTGCAGAAACTTCACAAGATGTGGAACAAGATGAAGCAGCAAAGATGTCTGAACAAGGTGAGGGAAATTCATTTTTTCATTTCTTGCCAGCCTAGAAGGAAGCTAGGTGAAAGAGCATTGTGTGTGGTTGCAGTGGGAGGGGGGTGTGTCCATCTTCGTGCCAGCAACTGTGTCCCTTCCCTGAGAACTCCAGAGATCACGGTGGACCAGGCGGTGTGGGTCAAGCCATCTCCAGTCAGATGGTGGGTTCCACAGAACCCTTGGTCCCGGTGAATGGAGGCACCGAACACTTGCCCACTTGACAGATCCTGAACAGAGCTGAACGTAGTAAAATGCTTGTTCAAAGTTACTTTGAGATTTTCTTAACTCCTGTCAAATTCTTTTATTTTTCAGTACTGGGGTTTTTGAACTTGGGACCCACACCTTGGGTCACCATCAGCTCTTTTTTGTGTTGGGTATTTTTGAGATAGAATCTCAGGAACTATTTGCCTGGGCTGGCTTCGAACCATGATCCTCCTGATCTCTGCCTCCTGAGTAGCTGGGATTATAGTCATGAGCCACTCATGCCTGGCAACAAATTCTTTTGTACATAATTATAAGCCAAAATTGGACAGGAATACAGCGCAAGAAGAATACATCTCCTACCTCTATTGTGTTTCTAGCCCAGGGTTGCACATTAATTAAGCCAACGATGCAAAATCCAGATGTCCAAGATGCCAGCAGGAATTGACTGGTCAAGGAAGTAGGAACAGTCCCCTAGGGAGATGTTGCTTGAGGCTTTGTTTATTAAGCTATGATTTGCCTACCATGAAGCCCACACTTTGGTAAATGCGTAACTCAATGGTTGTGGTATAGTCATACTCACCCAACCATCCTCACTACCGAGTGCCAGAACATTTCCTCTGCCAAAAAGTAGCCCCATCCTGATGCGCAGTGACTCCATTCTCCTTGCTAGCAAGCCCTGGGCAACCACTAACCTGCTATGTCTACGAATTTTCCAGTTGTGGACACTTTATATCAAAGGAATCCAGTATGTGGTCTTTCGTGACTGGCTCATTTGACCTGGTATAATGTTCTCAAAGTCCATCCATGTTATAACATCTATCAGCAGTTTGTTGGTCTTGATTGTCTAATATTCCATTGTATGAGCATACCACATTCTTTATCCATTCTTCAGTTGGGGGAAACTTGGAATATTTCCACTTTAGGGCTATTGTGGATAATGCTGCTGTGAACTTTTGTGTTCAAAGAAGTAGTGACAGAAATTGAACTTGGCTGACCTATTCAAGTGGTAAGATTAGTAAAACTTGGTGTCTGGCTCATAACAATTCATTCAACCAATATTCAAAAAACTAATAGCTTCCAGTATTGTCAACTATAAATTTGGACCTGTAATAATAATGACATTGATGGTATTTCTAGAATATCCATGATGAGCCAGGTGCTGTGCTCTGTTTTATGATTGTCAACTCCCACACAACAACCCCATAAGGGGAGGTGTTGCTATCCGCATTTTACATGTGAACAAATTACCATAGAGGATTGATGTGAGGCAGATGTTATACTTATGTATAGAACAGTGAGATCCATATCTGTACCAATACAAGTGCACAAATACAAGCTTTTTTCTTTCCTTGTTTGGGGGGTGTCAGTCATGGGATTTGAATTTAGGGCTTTGCACTTGCTCAGCAGGAACTCTGCCTTGAGTGCTTGAGCCATGCCCCTAGCCTCTTTTGCTTTAGTTATTTTATGCCTGGGACCAGCCTAGGCCCTCTCATTACACCTTCTGTGTAGTGGGATGACAGGGGTGCACCACCACGCCCAGACATTGATTGGGTTGGGGATCTCTCTAATTTTCTAGCCTTGAACCACAATCTTCCCTATCTTTGCCTCCTAAGTAGTTAGGATTACAGGTGGGAGCCGCTGCACCCACCCTGCTTTTTTTTTTTTCTAGTTACGACTCACACTTACAAGAAGGAATAAGTTTGGAGCTGGAGGTAAAAGATGAAATGGGTTTTTATGCCTCAAATGTGAGATCCCTGTGTCCCCTGAACGTGGTGAGTTAGACACATGAGCCTAGATTTTTAGGGAGGAAATCATCATGAGAGGTTTGGCAGTTTTAACCACAGGTGTAATAATTAAACTCCTAGGAGAGAAAGAAGCAAAGAAGTCCTAGGTTCAACTTCAGGCTGTCTTCCTTCCCTGCATAGAATCCTGAGTCCACTTGCATGCCTATCTTCTGTCTGAGGGAACTGCCTAAGCCCAAGCTTGGCAAGTAACAGTGGAAATCCCAAGGTCTGTTTCCTGCCACTTCAGTGCAGGGCTGTCCATGGCACCCCCTGGCTAGAATAATGAAGTACAAGTCTTAGAACTTCTCCCTGGAGAGAAACTTTGCTGTGTTTTTTGTAAAGTTAATGGTAAGGCCAGAAAGTTTAGGGTCAGAGAATGTGGGCTTCTTCATGTTCCTTGAGTCCCAGTTGGACGTCACAGACTATTGAGGAGGCTGGAGACAGAGTCAAAGCACTTTTCTCGTGGACAGTCCATTATAATGTGGGCACTAGACAATAACTAAATGCATAACTGTGGTTTGTGATAAATGCTGAGATAAAACGAGACCACGTGAGAGCAGTGTGGCTCGTAACGAGGCCCCATCTCCCATGTTCTCCAGGCTCTGTACTAATGCTGAACGCATGTTCTTAAATCTTTATCATGACCCTAGGGGAGGCTGTTGATCTCATAGGTGAGGGAACTGAACCTAGAAAACATGGCTCTTGTCTTAAATCACAAGGATGGCACAGCAGGGCATGGGTTCCAAGTGGTATCTCATCTCAAGGGATCTCCTCTTCTACATAGAGCAGGTCCCCCATCACATGGGGGTGTTCCTGCAAAGTAGCCTGGGATGCATAACTGTCCCATAGATGTAGGATTTAGGGCTGTGGCACACACATCCTCAGCTCACGTGAGTGTCCACAAGGCACTAGGCTCAGTTATAAACAGTGAAGATCCAACAGCAAGTAAAAAGCCCATACTAAGAATCCATGGGAAGAGATGGAGAATAAGCTAAGAAGAGAATTAGGGCTGGCACGGTGGCTCATGCCTGTAATTCCAGCTACTTGGGAGGCAAGAGGATTACAATTCAAAGGCAACCTGAGAAAAAGTTAGCAAGACCCTGTCTCAAAAATAAAATGCAAAGAAAAGGGCTGGGAGTGTATCTCAAGTGGTGGAGCACTTGCCTAGCAAGTATGAGGCCCTGGGATCAATCCCCAGTACAAAGAGAAACAGGATAGTGACAAGGAGAGCAACTCGAGGTGTGTTCAGAAGCAATCTGCAGAGTGACAGTTGATGAAGGGAACAAGGAATGGAGCTTGTTAACTCTCCATTGCTCAGAAGTAGCCAGACGCATGTTCCACAGGCTGTGAGACTCGGGGTCTGGGGTGTGTGAGTGTGTTTATTAAGACATAACACTTGAACTGGGTGCTCGTGGCTCATGCCTGCCATCCTAGCTACTTCAGAGGCTGAGATAAGACGGATCATGGTTCAAAGCCGACGAGGGCCAATAGTTCTCATGACCCCATCTCCAAAATAACCAGAGCAAAATGGACTGTAGGAGTGACTCAAGTGGTAGAGTGCCTGCTTGCAAGCATGAAGACCTGAGTTCACAGTCCTGCAAAAAAAAGACATTCATATCAGTCACTGTAAACTTCCATCATTTTTCCCGTTGGTTCCATTGTGATGTTTCCATATAGGCATACACTGTACCCCAATCAAACCCATCCTCCATCCGTCCCTCTCATGCCCCCTTTGTCCTTCTTGGAACAGATTCAGCAGGTTTCCTTGTTCCACTTCATACAAGTATGTAGAATGTGTTGGCCATATTCACCCCCCATAGCCTCTTTCTGTCCTACCCCTCCCGCTGGCACCTGCCCAAAACACAACCTGTTTTACATATCTATCATTCACTTTTTAAAACCTAGATTCCGCATAAAACGACATGCAATATTTGTCCGTCTGAGTCTAGCTTACTTCCCTTAACATTATCTCCAGTTCACCCATTTTCCTGCAAATGACAATAACTTCATTCTTTATGGCTGAATAATACTCCATTGTGCATTTACACCACATTTTCTTCACCTGTTCATCTGTTCACAGGTGCCTAGGCTGACTCCATATTTTGGCTATTGTGAATGATGCTGCTGTGATAAGTATGTTTAAGTTTCTCTCTCCTACTTTGAGAGAGAGAATGCATTTTTTTTTCTGGCAACACTGGAGGTTTGAATTCGGGGCCTCATACTTGCTAGGCAGGTGCTGTACCACCTGAGCCACTCCCCAGCCCTTACAGTGAATTATTGATTACATTTACCTTGTCGTTATTTTAGTTTTACTAAAAACCAGATATTCTTCAAATTCTGTTTCTGCTCCCCTTCTGCATGACTTCATACCTTCAGACTACAAGGCCCACGTGGTGAACAAATTCACCCCACAGTTGGATGGATACCATGATTTGGAAGAAACCACTACTGAGAGCCCAGAAATGCAAGCCCTGGTCAGCGCTTTTGATCCAGACCAGGGGGGCTTCCAGCCTCGCACAGTGGTCCTGCACGGAAAGCCGGGAGTTGGGAAGTCAGCTTTGGCCAGAAGAATTGTGCTGCATTGGGCACAGGGTGAACTTTACAGCGACATGTTCTCCTACGTGTTCCTCCTCCACTCTGGAGACAGGCAGCTGGTGCCCGAGGCCAGCCTTGCTGACCTGATCGCCAAGGAGTGGCCAAATGCCCACGTGCAAGGGGCCAAGACGATGTCCCAACCTGAAAGGCTCTTGTTTGTGGTCGATGGTTTTGACAACCTGGATTTCACCCTCAGAGATGACACGGGGCTGTGTGGAGACTGGGAGGAGAAAAGACCTGTGTGTCTCCTCATTCACAGCCTGCTGAGGAGAGCCCTAGTCCCCGAGTCCTGCCTCCTCATCACTGCCAGGGACGACAGAGTAGAGCAGCTCAAGTCCATACTCACGTGTCCCCGTTACCTGCTCGTGGGAGGAATGTCGGTGGAGAAAAGGACCCGGCTTGTCCTGGAGCACCTCCCAGACAACCATCGCAGGGTGCCAGTCTTGCGATCAGTGACAATCAGTCGTCCACTCTTTGACCAGTGCCAGGCACTCCCTGTGTGTACCTTGCTGTGTGCGGCTCTGCAGCTGCAGGAGGTGCTGGGAACTAGCAGGGTCCCCACCAGCCAGACGCTCACGGGCCTGTATGCCACTTTCCTGTTCCATCAGCTGGGTCCACGAGATCCCACCCAAAGCTCACTCACCCACGGAGAGCGAGTGGCCTTGAGGGGCTTGTGCCAGGTGGCTGCAGAGGGCTTGTGGCAAATGAAGTCTGTGTTTTGCAGCAATAGCCTGAACATCCATGGGCTGAGGGAAGCCGAGCTCTGGGCTCTGTCACAGGCAAGTGTCCTTGTGCCAGTCGGTGATCAATGCTATACCTTCTTCCACCTCAGCCTCCAGGAGTTCTGTGCCGCCTTGTTCTATGTGTTGGAGGGGTTGGAAAAGTGGGTCCATCTCCACTTTTCCCTCAGGAGCTTAGTGGAGCGTAGGCAAGTGGCCTTCAGCCCACACCTGGTCTGGATGAGGCGTTTCCTCTTTGGCTTCATGAGCAAAGACATGACAAAGGCCTTGGAGGTCCTGCTTGGACGCCCTGTCCCCCCGGTACTAAAGCGAACACTTCTGCAATGGGTGTGTCTGCTGAGTGGACAGGCCAAAGCTGCCGCCTCAGCTGACATCCTGGAAGCCTTCCACTGCCTTTTTGAGACTCAGGATAAAGAGTTCGTTCGTTTGGCATTGAATAAGTTCCAGGAAGTGTGGCTTCCCAATCAACCAGAGAATGGACTTGATTGTGGCTGCCTTCTGCCTCCAGAACTGTGGACACCTGCGGAGAGCCCGCGTGGAGGTCAAAGACATCTTCTCTAGAGACAAGGTTGATGAGCTGTGCCTTCTGGGCTCCCCACAGTGAGTACCTCCTGCAGTTTTATTCTCTGCCGGCAATGAACCTCTGTAGCCGAGTGCAGTGGCTCATACCTGTAATCCCAGCTGCTTGGGAGGCAGAGATAAGAGGAATGCAGTTTGAGGCCAGTCCAGGTGAACAATTCATGAAACCCTATTTTGAAAATACCCAACACAAACAAGGGCTGGTAGAGTGGCTCAAGTGGTAAGAGCCTAGTGGTTGCCTAGCAAGTATGAGGCCCCGAGTTCAAACCCCAATACTGCAAAAATAATAATACATATTTTTTCCCAGCTACTTGGAGGCAGAGGTAGAAGGGTCACAGTCTGAGACCAGCCCCAAGGAAAAAGCATGAGACTCTGAAAAATAAACTAAAGCAAAAATGGCTGGGGCTGGGGCTCAAGTGGTAGAGCACTTGCCAGTCTGAGGTCCTGAGTTCAAATCCACAGTATTACCCAAAAGAATCACTGATTTATGTACTGCTTGCCTTGGGTAGGGTCCCATCCAGTAGAATTTCCTGCAGTGATAAAAACACTTCCTTTTGCCTTGTCCAGTATGTGACCACTGTGTGCCTATCAGGCCCTTAAACGTGAGACTGAGGAGGTAAACCTTCAGTTGTACTCCAGTTCAGCTCGCTCGTATCTGAGTAGCCACCCTATGTACCCTGAATGGCGGAGGCCTAGCACAGGCTTCGCCCGAGTTCCCATCCTCCCAGAGAACACAGAAGTCAGGAACATGGATGTGGCCACCGGCCTGCCAGTGTCTAAATCCTAAGGCTGCTACCACTTGGCATTGTGACCTTGGGAAGGTCCCTCAAGTGGCTCTGTGCCTCAGTTTCTTCTTCTGAAAAACAGAAGTAACCTATCAGGCTGTCAGGAGGCCGTTCAGGTGAAGCCTTAGTAACTGTGACTGATGCTTAATTAACTCGTACATAACAGCTAATAACTGTCAGCAAAATAACTTCATTAACTTAACACATAAATGACAACTAGAAACAGCTAACTCAAGGGCAAAGAGCGCTGGGGAAACCTGGGTTTTGAAGGTTTTTTTCTTTTTTTGCGGTACTGGGGTTTGAACTCGGGGCCTCCTATTGCTAGACAGGTACTCTACCATTTGAGCCATACTCCCAGCCCTGAAAACCTGGTTTTGGATTTTGGCTCTGCCACTCACTAGCTCTGTGGCCATCTACAAAATTGGGAAGGTAGCTCCAGGCTGTGGATTTTGAATGGTGGCAAACTTGCACTTGAGGGGCTCAGCACAGGACCTGGAAAATGCCAAGGCCTCAATGGTATGCCAGGCCCTCTCGCTCTGCTGGGGGCACAGTGAGGAAGGAAAGGACACTTTCCTCTGTCACCTTGGTTTTGGGGTTTTGTTTGTTTGCTGAAATGTTGGGGACGGAACCCAGGGTCTTGAGCATGCTAGACAAAGGCTCTGCCTCTCCAGTTGTATCCCCAGCCCTTGTCTGTCACCTGGTTTTGCCCTCTCCATACCTAAGGAAGCCCACGACCTGGGCGTTTTCCTGTGGACCAACAGGAAATGTGAGGAATTTCAGATTAGCTTTGAGCTGGTGATGTTTACAGCATCATAAAAATCATGCCTACAGCCAGGTGCTGGTGGCTGATGCCTGTAATCTTAGCTTCTTGGGAGGCTGAATCAAGAGGATCTCAGTTTGAGGCCAGCCTGAATAGTTCAAGACCCCAGGCTAAGGTGGTAGAGGACCTGTTTTGCAAGCATGAAGCCCTGAATTTAAACCCCAGTCCCACAAAAATGATATCATCTTTCATTTAGGGTGTGTTTTGGGAACAGAGTCCTGCTATGTAACCAAGCTTCAAACTCACTATCCTCCTGCCTCAGCCTCCTGAGTGCTGGGATTACAGGTGTGCCCCACCACACCCAGCAAATTTGTTTAAGGCTGTTGTATATATGTATATACCGTGTTTTCTTTTTCCATTTACCCACTGATAAAGCTGGGTTGTTTTCTGAATCTGGACTGTTGTGAATACTGTTGCATTGACAGTTAATACCTCTTTGGGACCCCAGTTTCAATTCTCAGGGTGTGTACACAGAAGTGGGAGGCTAGATTGTAGGGAAGTCTGAATTTTAATTTTTTTGAGGCACCTCCATACTGATTTCCATGGCAACTGCACCATTTTACACTTAGGGGACCTGGAAGGGAAGCAAACTTACAATTCGGGACCTGGTGGCCCCCAATCTTTACAGCACATCTCTGCTGTTGAACCGTTCGGGGCTGGCCTGGACGTGTAGCTGGTCCTGTGGGATACAAGGTGGTGTCCGCCGAGTTGGCCACACCTCCGAGCTGCCTGTCCTGCTTGGCCAGTCGGTGTCCCTCACCCTGACGGTGCTGTGGCAGTGACTGGGGTCACATCCCTCCGTGGAATTAGTTTCTTCTCTCTGATGCAGGACGCAGCACAAGGCTCTTGTGGACGAGTCATGGGAGAAGTTCTGCTCCGTGCTGGGCACCCATCCAAGCCTGCGGCAGCTGGATTTGGGCCACAGTGTCCTGAGCAAAGGGGCCATGAAGACACTGTGCACCAAACTGAGGCACCCGGCCTGTAAGATACGGAATCTCATGTAAGGCTGCCCACCCCCCTTCAAGAGGGAGGACCCTTCCCAGGGCGAGGATGCAGCCCTTCTCCTGAGAGGACCATCAGTAAACCCACAGAACTGTTCTGAGGGGCTAAGCGTGGTGAAAGACAGAGGAGGCAGGCTCCCAGAAGTTTGTGAAGAGATCATTTACTGTGGGTTTTGAAGGATGAGCAGGAGTTGGTTAATAGGGAAAAATGGGAGGGGAGCTCATTGCAGGCCAATGGTGAGATTGAATGTATGATTTATAGGGCCCTTTCATTTGGCAGTACCTGAGTTTGAACTCAGAGCCTTGTGCTCTACCACCTGAGCCACATCTCCTCTACCACCTGAGCCACATCTCCAGTCCTTTTTGCTTTCGTTATTTTTCAGGTAGAGTCTCATGCTTTTTGCCCAGACTTGCCTGCTTAAGCTTTCCTTGTAGCTAGGATGACAGGCAGGTGCCACCACACACAGCTTTTATCAGTTGAGATAGCAGTCTCCCTAACTTTTTGCCTGGGTGGGCCTTTGTACTCCTCCAGGAAGTACAACAGGATTCACCAAGTCCCTTGATATCCCCCCAACCTGCCCCATCCTCCAGAGCCTCCTGCATCCCTGAATACTCACCTTCCTGTCCCTGCCCCTATCCTATGTCCCTCACATGGTAGCAAGTACATAATGGTGTATGTGCTCCCTGATCTCAAAGGGGAGATTCTGCAGGCTTCCTGACCTTCGACTGCTTCAACTCGACTGTACATCTCTGTCAGAAGACTACGATGTAGCATGGTCCTTTTGTCCCACCCTGTCCAGAGTCTGTCTAGATGAAGCAGGTTGTTACCACTGTTCAATGTCCTGTTTCCACTGCCTGGCGCATGAAGCGTTTGCTGCTTTAAAATTAAATGCAAGTAGGACATATGGCTCATACCATTAATCTCAGCTACTCAGGAAGTAGAGACGGAGAGCATGGCAGTTCAAAGCCAGCCCTGGCAAAGAGTTAGCAAGACCCATCTCAACTGAAAGGTGGGTGTGTGGCATTGTCTGTCATCCCAGCTACTCAGGAAGGGTAAATAGGATCACAGTCCTGTCGAACCCCAGCAAAAATGCAAGATCCTATTCAAAACACAACTAAAGCAGAAAGGTCTAGAGGAGAGGCTCAAGGGGTAGAACACCTGACTAGCAAATGCAAAGCCCTGAGTTTAAACTCCAATAACATAAAAAAATTAAACGGAAATAATTAGAGTTTGAGAATAGGTTGAAAAGGAAAAACTAGGACGCATGTTAATGTCACCAGGGTGTATTTTGCTATCTCTCTCTCCTTCCCCCATCTGCTCCATCTCCTCCCCACCCCTGCCTCTCTCCCCCCTCCCTCCTTCTTTCTCCCCCTCCTCCTCTCCTGTCTTCTCTGTTCTCCCCTCCTCCCCTTTCCCCCATCTTCCCTCTCCCCCTCCCCCTCTCTCCCCCTCCCCCTCTCTCCCCCCCTCTTCCCACAGATTTAAAAGTGCGGAGCTGGCTCCTGGCTTCCGGTATCTGTGGATGATGCTGACCACCAACCGTACCTTGAAACACCTCAACATGGGCAGCACCCCCCTGGGGGATGAGGACGTCAAGGTAGCCTGTGAAGCACTCAGGCACCCACACTGCGCGTTGGAGACGCTGAGGTGAGTCTGGATCTAATGTCTGCATTTCACTTTTACTGGTGCAGAATGGGTCCAAGAATACTAAAAAGTGAGGAATTCTGGAGGTGGATGGCAGTGATGGCCATACAGCCCCACGAGGTGCTTTGTGCCACCAGATTGTATGCTTAAAACAGTAACTTTTATGTTATAAATATTTTACCACCAAAAAAATCTGTCAGTGTTTCATAAAGATTAAAAGCAGATATTACGAGCTGGAGGCATGGCTCAAGTGTAGAGCACCTGCCTAGCAAGTGTGAGGTCATGAGTTCAAACTACAGTACTGCCAAAAGGAAAAAACTGTCCCCCAAAAAAGGGGCCAGGTGTGGTGGTGTACATGTGTAATCCTAGTCACTAGTGCAAAAAATTGGCAACACCCCATCTCAACAAACAAGCCAGAGCATGGTGGTACACATCTAAAATCCCAGGTATGTGGGAGGCTGAAGTAAGAGAATCACAGTCCACATCCAGTTCTAGGCAAAAAATTTGAGACCCTCTCTGAAAAATAAAGCACAAAAGAGCTGGAGACATGGCTTAAATAGTAGTGCACCTGTCTAGCAAGTGCAAAGCCATGAGTTCAAACCCCAGTACCTCCAAAAGTTAGGGAAGTCCCATGTACCATCGGGAAGTTTCTCCTCATGGTTCCATTTCAAATGACCATAGCACAATGTCAAAACCAGCAAATGTGGGTGTGATGCGTATGCATCATTTTGTCACACGCCAACACTGCAGCCGAGGTACACATGCCACTGCCCTCCCCCACACACCATGCCTCATCCCTGCCAACCATTCAGGTTTCCCTTCCTGGTTTTATGTTGCCGATGCTGTCAAAGTGGAATCATGTGACCATCCCTGCCTGGGCCTGGCTTGTCTCCCTCGGGCCCTGAGGTCCATACACATGCAGAGTCCGTTCCTCCCTGTTGTGCTGGTTTCTTTGACAGCCATTTAACCATCTGCCTGAGCAGGGCATCTTGATGGCCTCTCGTGTCCAGCTGTGGCCATGGTTTGTGGATCTAGGTGTCTGTCCTTTCATAAGATTCACTTGGTCAGAAGATGCTGCATGGGCTTTGGTGGCATTCTGAGGACAGGCCTGAGCCCTGCTTTGCGGTTTGTTGATCAATATACACTGACCACCAGTTTGCTTTGCACCCCATGTCGTTTTTCCCTGTAACCCAGGAACTATGCTTTTAAAATTGTAACCCAAGGAAGTTAGAACAAAGCAAAGCCATCCTCGGGGATGGAAAGGCACATGCCTCGCGACATCATAGAGGTTGTAGATCTCTGCTGAGGACAACTCCCCTCTCTAGAACCAGTTCCCATGGAGATCCTGAAACAAATGCACCAGCCACGTGTGATGGTGAAGCAATCCAAATACATACACATATTTTTTGACAGTACTGGGGTTTAAACTCGGGGCCTCACACTTACTAGGCAGGCACTCTATCACTTGAGTCAAACCCACAGCCTGCCCACCCCCCTCAGTTTTCTTTTGGCTTTCGTTATATTTTTTCAGGTAGGATCTCTTGCTTTTTTTTTTGCCTAGGCTGGCCTGGACTATGATCCTATTTATGCCACCCACATCACTGCAATGATGTACTACTACATGCAGCTTATCTGTTGAGACGGGGTCTCACTAAGGTTTTGTTTGGGCTGGCTTTGAAATGCAGTCCTCTTGATCTCTGCCTCTCAAGTAGCTGGGATTACAGGTGTGAGTCACTGCACTCCACCCTAAGTATATTTTTTGTCTAAACACTCTAAGAGGGTTTCAAATGCTGGGTAGGTGAGGTCCTATGCCACACAGACTAATAGGGATTGCACCATTAACACACAGCATCTAGACACTGTCCGGGTAGAGAGATTCAGTTCATAGGAGGAAGAAGGTTTGAACCCCAGCCTGAAGTGGTGCAAATGACGTCCATCACATTCTCTTGGCTGGAGTCAGGGACATGAGGCCTTGCCTGCTGCAAGGCAGGCTGGGAAATGTAGTCCAGCTGTGTCCATGAAGAATCAAAAACAGCTTCATCTCTGCCCCAGCTGGCCAAGGACCTGAGCGTTTCACAACTATTCTGACTTTCTAACCCTCACCGTCACTTTTGGGGTTGGTAACACGATTAGCTTCACTTTTTTCCAGTCAGTCAACTGGGTTACACAGTTATTTGCTTAGAAGAAGATTAAATGATGGATCAGACTGCCATCAGATGACCAAATCATGGGATAAGGTGCATTTGGCTTTCGTAAACTCTGTTCAGAGTTTCAGGAGGTTTCACTTCAGCAAGTGCTTAGTGCTTTCTGTATACCGGAAGCTCTCACAGCTGCTGAAGATACAGCAGGGCAAAAGCAGGTCTCTGGGTCTCTGCCTGATAAACAGATACAAATATAAACATAGGAAGCATCAGCTGGTGGTCACCGCTAGGAACAGAATAACACTGGACAGGGGATGGAGGAAGGTGTACAAGTAGCGAGTCCAGCTTGCTCCAAAGAGGTAACATTCAAAAGACCCAAATGATGAAATGACCATATGAAGACAGGGGTAGGGGCCAGGGGGGCTGCAAGCAGAAGCAGCAGCTGATGCTCAGAGCCTGAAGTGAGATCACTCAGTACCCACGGACCCAGAAAATGGCCAGAGGAGCTGGTGTGCACTGAGGGGGATGGGGACAACTTCAGGGAGGGCTTGGGTGTGGAGTCATGGTCCTATCTCTGCAGGTTGGATGCCTGTGGATTGTCCCACTACTCCTACCAGATGATCTCCCAGGTCCTTAACATCCCTACCCACCTGAAGTCCCTCGGCCTGGCAAAAAATAAGGTGACAGACCAGGGTGTGCATCCCCTGTGCGATGCCTTGAGGAACTCGCGGTGCTCCCTGAACAGGCTGATGTGAGTTGTACTTCCTCTTACCGGGATCCCCCACGTGACAGAGTGAGGCACAGGGGCAGTCGAAGCACAAACCAAGAGGATGGGAGCTGTGACCTCACAGGAGTGTAAGGAAGATCCATGAGAGGATAGTTGTCCAGAGAGATGCAAAGTAAAGCCACAGTGAAGTAACATTGCACACTCAACAGAATTGCCAATATCAAGGACATAGAGTAGCCAGAAGTCTAAAACACTCCCTACTGGTCAGAATGTCCCACAACTTTGGGGAATCTCTGGGCATTGTCTTCTAAAGTTTACCATCCTGTAAATAGTTGCAGTCTCAGTTATATGTCCAAAAGAAGTACATACATAGGAAACTGTAATGTAACTTGATCAAAGGATATTAATGCATTATTTAAATGCCACAGTGCAACCCCTTTTGTACAATTAATATATGCTAGTGTAAATGGAAGTAAATCTATACACAGATGCATCAAGACATGTGCAAGACTGTAGCAACATTATTCATACCCTAAATTAAGAACTCGAATGTACAATAGTAAGAACTTGAAAACAACAAAAAAAAAATCAGTTGTCTTTGCTACTTGAACTCCAAGCTGATGCCAGATGGAAGTCACTCAATGACCTTCCATGGTGGGAATGCTCTCTTAGAGCGTGAGGCTTACATAAATTGCAAAGTGGGTTTGTTGTTGCGTAACTACACAGTTGGAGACATTAGTTCACCCAGTGATGGGAAGAGTATGGTGTGGACCAGCTCCTTACTGCCTGGCCTCGTGCAGACCACAGCATAGTGTCTGGGCACAGACTGGCTCAAAAAGGAGGTAGGGCTGTAGACTTGGCTCAAGTGGTAGATCACTTGCCTGGCAAGTGCAAGGACATGAGTTTAAACCCCAGTACTTTGGCAGAAATACATTCCTCACTACCAACGGCCCAAAGTGATGTCATTTTCTTTCTGGCGACTTATCCTGTGGAAGAAGAAGGGAAAGAAGAGACAGTGGTTATGACAATCCTTTTTTGTAGAACTGGGATTTGAACTCAAGGCCTTGTGCATGCTGGGCAGGCACTCTACCGCTTGAGCCACAACCTCAGCCTTTATAGTAAGCATTTATCGAACACCTATTGAGCTGTGCCAAGTATAGCACTGAGTTGTTTCCATACTTACCTCATGTTCTCAGAACAAGTCTATGCAGCAGGTTTGTCATTCTCCTTCTGATGGGTGAAGAGACAGTTCTAGGCTGAATGACTCATCCATGGCTGAACTTTTAAGTGATAAAACCAGAATTCAAACCCGTGACCAATTCTCAAAGCTGTGCCCTGGCACATGAGTGGCACTAATGTATTTAGTCTGAAGCAACAACAAGAGTTGAGAATGAAACAGCACAAAGTATCCTTAAAGGCTAGAGGGGGAGGACAATTGTAGAACACCCAACATGCCTTCTGTCCTTTGGTCCAGCCCATTGGTCCAATCCAGCCAGTGTTTTTCTCCCTTTGCCAAGAGAGATCCCATCAGAGGCACTGAACTATTGATACACATAACATGCCTCTTAAGAGCTCTGAGTGTTGAATCCGTCCACTTGACCACACCCTGTGAGAGGGCAACTATCAAACTCCTGTTGCAAGTACTGTAACTTCATTTTGTGGGGCTAAAATAAGAGGAGGTGATCAGTCTGATTTCACAAGCCCCACCATCTTCTACCATTAATAGACGAGCCCTGCCTTGGGGTCCTAATGCCTGAAGGGGGTAAGAATAACAAGAACAAGACCTTGCATGGGTGAGGACAGGGGGTGGGGGGGAAATTTAACAACACACCTCATTTCCTGGGTGTTGTTTTCTTGCAGATTGGACAACTGTGGCCTCACAGCTGCTGGCTGCCAGGTGCTGGCCTCAGCCCTTGTCAACAACCACAGCTTGACCCACCTGTGCCTGTCCAACAACAACCTGGGACCTGACGGGGTATGCCTGCTGAGTCGGTCCATGAGGCTTCCCAGCTGTGCACTCCAGCGGCTGATGTGAGTCTGACTTGTTTCCCTGCAAGGAACTCATACCCTTCTGGCAAACAGTGGGTGTCACTCCAAAGCACCAAGCAGTGAGGAGGGGGTGTGGACCACCTGAAATGTACAGCAGCCCCCCGTATCCACAGGGGACTGTCTCCAGGACACCTGCAGATGTTCAAGTCCTGTATATTAAATGGTGTGATGTTTGCGTATAACCTACACACACCATCCCAGATGCATTAAGTCATCTCCAGTTTATTGTAATTCACCATGGAGTCCAAAAGCTATGTAAATAATTGTGTCGTCAAATAACAAAATGTCTGTTCAGTGCAGACACAGTAAATTGTCGTAGTTTTGATCCTATAATGTGACCCCACAGATAAGGAAAGCCAATTGTGCCAAACTCTGGCCCTGTTTGTTGAAGTATTTCCACAATCCTTAGGGAGATCCCACCTCTCCTTTGCTTTCTCACAGTGGGAAACCACTCTCTTGGTCAACTCTCAGTATGTCCCATAATGTCCCCTCAAAATGTAGGAGTAGCTGAGGCTGAGATGTCTTTTCTGGCCATGCAGGCTCAGGTTCCCAGGACTCTCTAATGACCTCATCAACGAGTCAACACATAGCCTTACTTTGTGTTTTCCGTTTAATGATGCTTTATTTAACATGTGCCACTGATCCTTTAAAGATGAACTTATGGCTAACAGCACTGTTATCAAGGCCTGATTACCTGATACAGGGAGGTTACCACCTCCTCATGCTTAGACAGAACTTTGCCATTATGCTTGGAGGATCATTTACGCAAGTAAGTCATCAACAGAGGGTACAAGAAATACACCTCCAAAAGGTGAGTTGTTCAGGATGACAGCTGAAACAAGTTCCACCTCTGTCAGGAATGTGTGGGACTGGAGACACCAATGTTTCCAGTACACATGTACACATCTGAGAAGGTTGGTGAGCCACTAGCAGGATTAGTTTGGGAGGGTAAAGAATTTTAGCAAGTGGGAGAATTTACAAAAACAGAATCCATGACCGATAAGGCTCCACTGTATTTAATACAAACACTGAGTTATGAGATTCAGAGATGGAGGACGAGGATTGGGGGTGTCAGTGGTAGAGCGCTTGCCTTGCATACATGTGGCCATGGGTTCTGTCACCAGCACTGCAAAACAACAGATGTACATGGTGCCTGTTTCAAAAGAGCTTGACTGTGTTGGGAGAGCTAATAAGGAGATTTGAGATGGTGACAATGACACAGGGCTCACACCACAGCCACATGGTGTTGCTCGACTCCTAGGAGCAGCACACACATGGACAGTGGTGAGAACAGTTTCCTCTAGCTGTCATATAACAACTTACCTGTACAAATATTTTTAAAATGGCCAAGTTACCCTTCCACCATTGATCTTTGGTCTTAAGATTTTGCTACTTGTGTTTTATTTGCTTGTTTGAGACAGAGTCTGGTGATGTAGCCCCAGCTGGTCTTGAACTTGCTATATAACCCAGGCAGGCCTCCAACTCAAGATCCTGCTGCTTCAGCCTCCCAGGTTCTGGAGTTACAAACATGTACCACCACACCCAGCTCTTGTTGTTCATGTTCAATATGGTCTACCTGCTCTGTCAGGGCTAGGGTTGGCGGGGTCCGTCAGTAACTTCATGTACATGAAACATGGACATGTGTTAATGGCAGACTCATTGTCAGAAAGTACGTCAAAGAATATGACCTTTGCTGAGCATGGTGGCCTGTAATCCCAGCACTCAGGAGGCTGAGGCCAGCCTGGATTACTGGTGATACCCTGTCTCAAAAAATAAAAGAAGGGTACCTTACTTTGTATATCCACGAGCTCCAAGGCTCATCATAGTTGTCCCCCCCTCCCACAAAAAAAAAGTCCAAGTCTTTATCCCTATGAGTGTGCTGCCTCTCGTGGTAAAAGGGACTTTGCTTTGTAGGTGTGGTTGGGGTACAGATCTCAAGGTAGGGAGATTTTCCTGAGTGAATTGCCTGGGTGACCCCCAAAGTAAACACAAGTCTTCATAAGGGAAAGTAGGAGGCAAGAGAATCAGAAGGAGGCATGGTAGCAGTGGAGGTCAGTGTGAAGCCATCTCTCTGGCTTTGATGTTGGACATGGCTCCTTGTCCAAAGGCCTGTGGGCAACCTCTCAAATCTGTAAAATTGAGAAAACAGACTCTTCCCTGGGGTCTGTGCTGTCCCCTCAATGTGAGACCCATGATGGACGCCTGACCTCAGAACTGTAGGGTAACAGACTTGTGTTTGAGGCCACTTGATCTGTCGTTATTTGTTGATAACAGCCATGGGAAACTAACACATGGCACCTGACAGAAAGTTCTAGAGAGGATATCAGTCCTGGCCAGCATCCATCCAGCAAGTGTTCCTGTCCTTCTCTGTGCTGAGCACTCGGGTCATCTGCCATCATAAGTACAAATATGGCCCCTTCCCATGGAGAAGCAGATGCTCCCCCGGGTCACACTGTGGGGCAAGTGTGACCCTCCTCTGCTCCTTGTGTCCCACAGGCTGAATGAATGTGGCGTGGACACCACAGCCTGTGGGTTTCTTGCGTTCATGCTGATGAGCAATAGGCGGCTGACACACCTCAGCCTAAGCAGGAACCCCTTGGAGGACAACGGGATAAAGCTCCTGTGCGAGGCCATGAGGGACCCCACATGTCGCCTCCAGGACCTGGAGTGAGTACCTCTCCATCATACTGGGTCCTGGAAGGCAGGAAAGGTCAGCAGGGGGACTAAAAACCCTGCCTGGGGCCAGCTGCTTCTCTGTCTGGGGGAAGGGGGGTCACTCTAGGGACACTGGCATGTTGTCACCACAGTGTGGGTGCCGGGACAGAGGAATTCCTCACAGCCTATTTAATAGGACTATCCCATCATTAAACATTGCAGAAATTGGAAAAAAGTCTTCAGTCTCACAACCCCACAGTCAGCTCCATTGTAGTCCGGTGAACGTCTCCTGCCGCTCTTTTTCCCTACATGCATAAGTGCATTTTTCGTATTTTATAATTTTGATAGTGCTGGGGTTGGAACTCAGAGCCTTGCAGGTGCTCTGCCACTTGAACCTCATCCCTTAGTTCCTTTTTGCTTTATTTTTCTGATAGGGTCTCGTGGTTTTGCCGAGGGCTGGCCTTGCACCTCGATCTTCCTAACCTATGCTTCCCATGTAGCTGGGATTCCAGACATTTGACACCATGCCCAGCTTATTTGTTGGGATGGGATCGATCTTGCTTCTTGTCTGGGTTGGCCTTGGATCTTGATCCTCCCAATTTCTGCCTCCTGATAGCTGGGATTATAGACTTGAGCCACCATACCTGACCTCATACATTCATACGTGCATTCAATGCCTTGCAAACAAGGGATCCTTGTAGTCGGTGGTTTGTTGTTGTTGTTGTTGTTGTTGTTGGTTTTTTTGGGGTTTTTTTTTTGCATTTTCCAGAATTCTTCTAATGCATTCTTACTATGTGGGGTTTGGACTCAGGCTTCATGTTTGCAAAACAGGCACTCTACCACTTGAGCCATGCTTCCAGTTCATTTTGCTCTGGTTATTTTGCCCAAGCTGGTTTTGATCCTCGATCCTCCTGATCTCAGCCTCCCAAGTAGATAGGATTACAGGCATGAGCCACTGGTGCCTGTACAAAATTTCCTATGCACCTATGTTTTGACTGTGACCTGTTATGGGAGGTCAGGTTTTGGGTTTTCCATTTGTGGTAGTGTCATGTCAGTGCTCAGAGTTTCACATTTCAGGTGCCCAGCCTGTGTGGCACTCTGAGGTGGTTTAAGTCATTTCTGCTCAAACCATCCAGCCCTTACTGCAGGGCCCATCTGCCCCATCCACCTGCTCTGTCTGGGAACAGAGGCACAAGGCCTCCCCAACTCTGGGATCTCAGACCCTATTAGCACTTCAGTTGCTGCTTATTTTAATTATTATCTTCAATTAATGGAACAAAGGGGCTTCACTGTGATATTTCCATACATTCATGTAATATACTTGGAAATTAACCCCATCTGTATAACTCTTAACCCCCCTCTCTCCCTCTTCCCCCTCGTTTTTAACAATTAATGATATTTTCATACATAATATACTTGGGTTATCTTCACCCCCTACCTCCCTCTCATTTCCCCCTCCCCTGATCACCCCCTCAAGCAATCCCTCTATTAGAACCATCTGTTACTAGTAATAATAATTCCACATATGAGTGAAAATGTGATATTTATTTTTCTGAGTTTGGCTTATCTCACTCAACATCCAGTTCCATCGAGTTTCCTACAAACGACATAATTTCATTCTTCTTTATGGCTGAATAATATTCCATTGCATTTTCTTCATTTGTTGGACACCTTGGCTGATTCCACAGCTTGGCCATTGTGGATAGTGATGCTACAAACACAGACATGCAGTTGTCTCTATTGTATGGTGACTTAAGTTCCTTTAGATGTATGCTCAGGACTGGTGTAGCAGGGTCACGTTTTGATAGCTTCTTTCACCTTTTCTCTCCCTCTCCAGGCTCTACAAGTGTCTCTTTCAGGCTTTCTCTGCTCCTCTGCCCCTCCCCATGGAAAAGTGCCTTTCACAGCTGAGAACCAAGATCTGGTGTATCTGATTTTTTAAGAGCTACCTCCACTGCCATCCATCTCCCAAGCCAATGATACCACACTGTCTACATGGGTCCCAGAAATGGGTAGAAGGCAATCCCTACTAGTGCCTCTGAGAGTTGTACCTCACTGTAGCCCTTCCCCTCAAGGTCATGGGTTTACTGTCTCAATGTGTCCTGCAGACTGATGAGCTGTCACCTCTCCTCGGCTTCCTGCAAGAACCTGGCCTGTGTCATCACAAGAAACAAACACCTCAGGAGCCTGGACCTTTCTGACAACGTCCTGGGGGACAGTGGAGTTGTTGCACTATGCGAGGGACTGAAGCAAAGGGACAGCACTCTGAGGAGACTTGGGTAACTTCCTGGGATCCCTCTTTGGAAAGCAAGAGGACCCTGGTGGTGTGAAGTCACTTGAACCAGGAAGATGCTCTGATTTTCGTGACTCTGTCAAGTTGGACAGAATGGCACTTCAATGGAGTCCAAGATCGGGGTGTCACTTCCCACCTCAGCTCCTATGAATGGGGTGGGGGATAGCAGATGCATGGGAATTGGGTCTGGGGGTGGGAGACCCTCAAATCCTCACTGAACCACCTGGGTGTGCTGGGTGCAGTGTGGTGGGAGTGTGGAGATGGTTGAGACTTTGGTGTGGCTTGTATGGTTGAGTGAGATGAGGACTCCACATATAGAACGTGGTGCGTAGTGAATTTACTGAGCACCAGCCAGTTACAGGTTTTGGCACTCGGCCCCTGATCACCTCAACATGTGTCTTCATAAATGCCAGAGCACTGATAAGGTATCATTATTACACATCTTTCTGGTGCACTGTGGGTTGAACTCGGGGCCATGCACCCAGTCCTTTTTTGGTTTAGGATATTTTTTACATAGGGTAAAGCCCAGGCTTGACCTGGGACTGCAATTCTTCTGCCTATGCCTCCTGTGTAGCTGGCATTGCAGGTATGTGCCATCATGCTGGATTTGATGACATGGGTCTTTTTTTTTTTTTTTTTTTTTTTTTTTTGCTAGGACTGGGGTTTGAACTCTGGGCTTCCCATTTGCAAAGCAGGGTGCCCTACCACTTGAGCCACACCTCCAGTCCATTTGCTCTGGTTATTTTGGAGATGAGGTCTTGTGAACTATTTGGGCTTGCCTCAAACCTCAGTCCTCCTGATCTCAGCCTCCCGAGTAGTTAGGATTATAGATATGAGCCACAGACACCCAGTACAGATGGGGTCTTGCTAACTTTTTCCCCTGGGCCAGCCTCCCTGTGTGTCTGCCTCCTTGGTAGCTTGGATTACAGGCACTGAGCCCAGTCCCTTATTACTCTTGATGATATTCTTTGCCATACCATTGATCTTAGGATAAAATCCTAAATCCAGCCTCTTACCACTGTCTCTGTGCCATTTTTCTAAGGAGAGGAATTATTTTGGCTCAATGTTTCAGTCCATCATGGTGAGGAGGGCCTGGTGGAGCAGAGAAGCTCACATAATGGCGACCAGAGAGGGGAGGGGGGGGGGACAGTGGATCGGCTCCCTTACCTACCTCTTCTTTTGAGTTTTAGGGTCAATGTCACTTTCTCAACAGGTCTTCATGTGCACTCCTTGTCCTGTTGCCTTGTTCCAGGTGTTCTGTCTTTACCCTTCAGAGGGCTTTCACTGTGATATTTTCACGCATGCGTATGACATACTTTGGTCAAGTTCAGTCTCCCTCTTATTTATTCCACTTAATTTCAGTCACCCAGCAGCTCCCAGAGTGAGCACTAAAGCCCTAGCCTTCCCTGAGACCCCTTTAGAAATGGAAACATCAGGGGCCCTTCCCCAGAGCTTCCAAAGCACAAAGTCTGGGGGTGGAGCCCCCCACTCTCATTGCATGGCTGGCGAAGGTGCCCTCGCTGACGTTGACCTTTGTGTGTCTTGGTTACTAACCTCCGTCGTGTCTTGGGCACCTTCAGGTTGGAGGCCTGTGGGCTGACATCCGAGTGCTGCACGACATTGTGGTCCGTCCTCCTCTGCAACCAGCACTTGAGCAGCCTGAACCTGCTGCAGAACAGCTTCAGCCCCGCAGGAGTGACAAAGCTGTGCTCGGCCTTCGCACACCCCGCATGTAGCCTCCGGGTAATCGGGTGAGTCCCTGTGACTGTCCCCGGAAAGACCAGCCTGCTCCCCTTGCAGGCAAGCCCCGTGGGGACACTGAGATCATAACCTGATGACAGTGACGGTATCTGAATGATGGGAGCAGCTGTGTGCCCAGCACTACGCTGTTCACCGGCACTGGGGGACGTGGGAGATGGAGTTAAGATGCCTGGGCGGGTGGGGAGGATAGAGAGATGACATACATTTATGCTCAAAAAGCTAAACAGCCAGGTGCTGGTGGCTCACACCTGTAATCCTAGCTAGTCAGGAGGCAGAGATCAGGAGGATTGCAGTTCAAAGCCAACCCAGGCTAATAACTCAGGAGACCCTATCTAGGAAAAATACAAACCACAAAAAAGGGCTGGTGGAATGGCTCAAGGTGTCAGACCTGAGTTCAAATGCAAGTACCATAAAAAAAAAAAACCCTAACATTGTGGATTTATTCAGACAATAAGTGCTAAGAAGGAAATGGAGTGGGTGTGGGGTTCATTTAGATTACATGGGTTGACTTAGATTGTAGGGGTCACTGAGGTCATTCTCACAGGAATGGATGTTTGATTCGCACCCTCTAAGGCAAAGGCCTGAGGCCAGAGCTTTCCCAGCTGAGAAAGTGAAGGGCACAGCCCCAGGCCAGCAGACATGTTTAGTGAAAGAAGGAAGTGGTGGTAACAGACAAGGTTCCAGGATAACAGAAAACTGGCTCTTGATCAGGGAGTGCCCTGGAGTCAGACTTCTAAACTTTTGACATACATGCCAGGTATGGTGGCACATATCTATAATCCCAGCACTTGGAAGGCAGAGACAGGAGGACCATGAGTTCCAGGCCAGACTGGACTACATGGCCAGACCTATCACAAAATAACAAAAAGAAATGGCTCACTATCTTTATGACCTTAAGAAAGCTTTGTAGTCTGTGCCTCTATTATCTATAAAATATGCAAGAACCCTGACATATCCGTTACAAGGATACATTAAGGCCCAATGTTGGGTTGAAAGCACTCATCTGTACTGATGACCAAGGGGATAACATGGCCTGTGACAAGGTGGATGGAACAGTTGATGGGGTGCGAGAGTCAGACTTGATTTCACTGACCTTCCAGGAGCCAGTTTCCCCATGACAGGATGGCTGTGCACTCTGCATTTATTCAAATGGGAGTCTCTTCCCCGATGCTGGGGTGAGGGTGTGGAGCTGGGACTTTGCTCTGTCCACCTCCATTAGGATAAGATTTGGCACAAAGTAGGGACTTACAGGTGGCTGAGCAGTGACACTTCCATCCTAGGATCACTGGAAAGTTCCTTTACACATAGGGATTGTCTTTGAATCCCAGGCAAGGTTTCAGTGTGACAGGCTCCCTCTCTCTTGCAGCCTGTGGAAGTCACAGTACTCTGCACAGGTCAGGAAACTGCTTGAGGAAGCTCAGCGTTGCAAGCCCCACCTGGTGATTGATGGCCACTGGTATTCCCCCATCGAAGATGACCGATACTGGTGGAAATACTGAAGGCATGACGTGAAGACCTGGTTTTGGTCAAGAGGACGGTTAAGAGCTATTCTCTGGGGCAGGTCTCACTGCCACTGCCTCAAGGTGGACGGCAATCTCTGGCACTCACTCGGCCAGCAATGGTAGCGAGCTTCTTACCCCATAAACTGACACTGCAGTTGAAGGCCATGACTGTCCCCTCCTAGGACCTGGCTGGCTATCTGTGCAATGTCTGTCTACCTTAGAGCATCCACAGGGAATAAAATAAACACTGAGCATTCAAAAGTACCAACTGGTCATCTTGACCCATGGGGCTGTGACCTAAGAGCAGAAGCACAGAGAACTTGCATCCTCCAAAGTGACTCCCAAATTTGGTGGGTTTAGCACACATATCTGAATGTCAGAGGGTGAGAGTGTAACTCAGTATCTGAACTATAACCACAAGGCTGACTTTATTGATTATGATCATGAAGAGCTGGTCCTCTGTGGTCTCTGGGCAGATGAGCAGGTCTCATAGGTCAGGATTTGGGGAGGTGTGGAGTTCAGGAACTGAGTGCTCAACGGGTCAGCTGACATCAAGGCAAGGCTGATCAGCACTCAGGTTTGTGCCTCAGTGAATTCCTTCCTGACTTGCTGAGTGTGAGGCAGTTTTTCTTGGCTCACAAGCTATCTTGGATCCATTGCATGGGTTTAAGTCCGTTTGGGTAGCTCCTTGTTCCCAGGCTTCCAGAACAATTAGTCTGTGTGGGTATGTTAGCTTTCCATTACTAAACCAACTCTGATCAACACTAATCAACTTACAAAGAAGGTTTAGTTTGCCTCAGATTGGGAGGTTTCAGTACATAATTGGCCTCATTGCTCTTGGACCTGTGGTGAGGCAGTAGGTCATCGCAGGAGCCTATGGCAGAGCAAAACCTGCTCACCTTGTAGAGAACCAGGAAGGCAAGAGGGATGGGCCAGAGCACCTCAATCCCCTTCAAGGAAACGCCCCAGTGACCTAACTGCCTTCCATTAGACCCCCACCTCTTCAAGGTTCTACCACCTCCCAGTAGCACCATTCTGGGGACCAGTTCTCTGATACTTGGGCTTTTGAAACCCAAACTGCAATGATGGGAAGGTCTTGTGTGTTCAACAACATAATCTCTTACAGTGATTTCTTCAACCTAGGGATGTGTGGCTCAATGATAGAGCACTTGCCTAGCAGATGCAAGGCCCTGGGTTCCGTCCCCAGCACACATAAGAGAAGACTTCTAACCCATGATGATGAATGATAACTGCTAACACACATAGTCCTTATCCTGTGACAGACTCTAAGCACCATGTATAAATTAGCTCATTTAATCTTTAGGCCCCATATGTAGGTCCTGTCTTCACCTCTGACTTACAGATGAAAAAACTTGAGGCACAGAAGCTTAAAATGGACTGTAATCCCAGTTGCTTGGGAGCCAGAGGTTGGAGAATTTCGAGTTTGAGGCCAGTCCAGGCAATGTTAGCAATAGCACTCTACCTGAAAAAAGTACAAATAAAAGGTCTGGGGCTGGCTGAATGGCTCAAGTGATAGAGTTCAAACCCCAGTACTGCCAATAAAAGACAAGATCAACAGGTATAGTGGTTTCTGAAGAAAGCAAGCAAGAGAGCCTGACTTGATGGTACACACCTGCAATCCTGAGCACAGGCATTACAGGAGTTATTGGGAGGCTGAGGCAGGAGGATTGAGTATTCAAGGCTAGCCTGGACTACATAATGAGAGTATCTCAAATAAAAGGTCTGGGTACACGGCTCAAGGAACAGTGTCTAGAAAGCGTCAGGCCCTAGTTCAATCACCAGTACCACTCCCCACTCCACTCCCAAAGAAAAGCACAGGCAAGTCTGTGCTCTTGACATCACCTCTTCCACACAACCACCTCCCAAGTGCCACAAACCATACTGTGTAATTCAAGCATCACTTTTCAAACCTGGGAATGTTCTAGGCTTGTTCCTAGATGACTGCCTAGCCCCCTAACCCTTGTAATGTGTCTGAGCAGTTTGCAGGAGTGGGAGAAGTAGCGATCGGACCTGCAGCTTGTGCTGACACTATTAGCATTATCCTCAGCACCATGGTTTCTTATTAGGGGTGCTTTCCAAACATATTCTGCTAGGGTGGTGGTTCACACCTTTAATCCCAGCTATTCAGGAGGTGGAGGCAGAAGGATCTCAAGTTCAAGATCAGCTCTGGGCAAAGACCCTGTTTAAATAGAACACCAAAGGGCTAGGGATGTGCCTCAAGTGGTAGAGAACTTGCCTAACAAGCACTGGGTCCTGGGTTCAATCCCCAGGACTGCACAAAAATAAACCCACATCCCAGGAGAGTGAGCTCACATTACAAAATGGTTGGACATCGAACCAATGTGGCTTTGAGGTGAGTGTGTGGAGAGAGTGGGCTACATTGGCTACTACTGGGTCCAGAGGCTTGTCCTGAGTACTGCCACCCACCCACCAATGAATACACCCACTTCTTATGGCTGAAAAGGGAAGGTCAGATAAGTCAAGGTTAAGGAACAAGTTTTGGGGTTATTTTGTGGTACTTGGGTTGAACTTGCTGGGCAGGCACTCCACCACTCAAGCCATACCCGGAGCCCTTTTGCTTTTAGTTTTTCAGATAAGATCTTGTGCATTTTGCCTTGGGTTAACCTCAGACTGATCCTCCTACCTCTACATCCTGTGTAGGTGGAATTACAGGTGTGTGACACCACTCTTGGCATGGGTTTAAGACAACACTGCCACTACCTGAGTAGGAGACTGACACAGAGGATTCATGGTTTCAGCACTCCCATCTACCTTCTTGACTCTCTGAAGAAAAGTAAGTGGAGGTCCGATGAACCCAGAAGCCTGGGCTACCTGACGCAGGTTATAGTGACCAGGGAATCTCCCCCACCCTGAGGACCAGGGGCCCTGCCCCTGGCAGCCAGGACCGACTGACTTCTGAAAGGGACGGTCCCCAGAGAACATCCACAGACCTGGTATTTGCACTCTGACCATCCATGCCCCAACTGTTCACACAGACAGTTATCCATGGGGAGGAGGAGCAGAGGGAGGACAGGAAGTTTCCCATGCAAGGCAACCTGGGCTTAACCTGATGCATAACAGCACTGGTGAGGCTGGGGCAGGCTGGTTCTTGGACTCCAAGTCTCTCCTTGGGACCCTTGCTTATCTCCACCTGGCCAGCCACATCCTGAAGGTGGTTGAAGTGTGTGTGTGATCTAAAGTCACTAGAGAGAGGTTACTTGAGCCACACACCTGGGATAGGCAGTTCTGAATCCAAGGCCTACACTCTAAGCTCATGCAGTTCTCCGAGTGCACAGCAGGGGGGTGCAGAACACCACATCTCCACAGGTAGCGCAGCAGGAAGACTTGACTCACCTACCCTGCAGGTAACCTTTCATTGGGGCTGCCTCGCTTTCTGCTGGGGCGAGGTGGGGAGTAGCCACTTGAGCCAGAAGCGCTGTGACAACAGAAATGTCTCAGGAGGTAGCTCACATTCCTGGGGGCACAGTATCCATGGCCTAAGAGCCACTGGGAAATCCTACCATACCCCAGTAGCTTCTCCCTGGCCCCCACCAGGAACTGCTGCACACACAGTCTCCAAAAGAAAAAAGTATCAGCCACTTTTGTATTCTGTGATAAGAGGTGACAGCTGTTGGGATTGTCATTTGGTGAGGCTGATCCATGGTGTGCCTCTGTCCGTGGTGCTGACACATGGGATCTACAGGCACCCATGATGGGGAGTCTGTGGATGGACCATCGTCCATTGTGATGGACAGCCTCTCCCACCCACCGCATCCTTAGATACACACATCTATGCAGATACTCACAAGCTCGTGCACATCAAGACACGACACATATAACCCACAGATACACACATCCCCTCCCTGAGGATGGACTTCCTGGAGCACGTGGAAGGTGTCCTGTGAATGGAAGGCTTCATGACTGACCAAGTTCTGAACACACTACAAGCTAACACCCACCCTGTCTGCACCCCATGGGACACAGGGGACAGGGACATTTTATTCACCCAGACTGCAGAATCTTGACTGTCTGCCAAGATTCCACATTAGACAAGGCAAATCCAGCATGTTTCCAAGTTGCCTGGACAGAAAGTTGTGTTTCTTGGGACATTCCAGAGAGTACAGATGAGGACACCCATGGGAGGCAGAGCCTATGGCAAACACTGTACTGAGACTGAGAAGGATGGCGATGGAGAGGCTCCTTCCTCCCCATCGTCTGCCTGCTCCCGACACCCCTTTCCCAGGCTGTCACACCTGCCGCCCACAGGACTCTACATAAGCCCCTCTTTAGTCCTTCCATCCTTTGGTACTGGGGTTTGAACTCTGGGTTCAGGCTTGCTAGGCAGGCGCTCTACCACTTGAGCCACTCCACCAGCACTTTTTGTTTAGGTAGGATCTTACATTTTTACCTGGGACCAGCCTCAGACCGCAATCCTCCTACCAATAGCCTCCCAGGTAGCTGGATTACAAGCATGGAATGTGACACCACGCCCAGCTCACTGGTTGAGATGAGGTCTCTAACTTTTTGGCCTTGACCCTCAATCCTCCTTCTCTGCTTCCATTGACTTTTTTTTTTTGGTACTACTGAGATTTGAACTCAGGACATCACACTTCCGAAGCAGGCACTCTACCACTTGAGCCAAGCATCCAGTCCTGATCTGCTTCCAAGTAAGTGGGATTACAAGTGTGTGCTCACCTCACCTGGCTGTCCCTTGATCCTTGACTACCTAAGTCTCCTCTCACTCCAGGGTATAAGCTCTGTGAGGGCAGTGGCTGTGAGTCACCATGTGTCCCTGATGCTCAGCAGATATGGCTGTGGACATGGGTTCCACTGTTCTCCACACCAGGGTCATGGGCAGAGCGCTTGTCCCTGTACAATGGCTGCAGCAGCAGAGCAGGGCCTGAGCAAGGCAGGAAGCCACCACATGGCACAGCTCGCACCAAAGCCAGCAGCAGTCATCATTGCCACCACCACTGCCATTTTATGAAGGTGGAAAGAGCACCCAAGGGTGTATGCCCTCAACTTACCCACCTGTGTCATGGGACCACTGTAGATGGAGGTGAGAACAGAAGTGCACTTTTTTGTTTCAGTTTTTGCTATGTAGCCCAGGCTGGCCTGGAACTCGAGATCCTCCTGTGTCTGCTTCCTGAGTGCAGGGATTACAGGTGCGCACCACCTCCCCCAGCTACCATGTGCACTGTTTCCACCTGATGGGCACAAGGCTCAGAATTATCTGTAGACTGGGGCAGGGATGAATAAATCAGTAAATGACACAATGTGACACAAAAGCATACATGTGTCTGCTCTGGCGCTAGGGGACCCTTGTCTACACATGTGGATGTGTTGGCTCATCGAATTCTTTATTATTAACTGAAGTTCATTCCTACATCAAGTGCAGTAAATGGAGCACCAGAGGGGTAGGCACAGAGCTGGGATTGGGTCCTGGCCCCTCACAACTGCATCCCATTCCTGCCTGGGAGAGGCTCTTGGCCCTGTGACTTCCAATCTGACTCAGACCCCTCCAAAATGCCCCATGAGACAGGCAGCCCTTCCTTCTGTACAGAAGGAAACAGGACCAGGCCCTGGGTCACATAGCCTGGACCTTTCCCACTCTAAGTGTCAGCTCCTGGGACAGGGAAAGCAGACTCAATGCCCCTGCCTGAACCTACCACTTCACATCTGCCACAATGACAGGGCTCCGCCCTCCCTCCCTTACCCCCAGAAATACCAAGGTCAGCACTGAGCAGTGTTTTCCCAGCTTTCACTCACCAGACATCCCACCTTTAAGAGAGACCAACTGCAGATCACTGACTCCAGCCAGGCAGGGGCCACTTAATGTTTTTCTGGCCTACCCTTACTCTTGATAATTCCTCCAGGGGCGTCATGACCTTCATTTCCAACTCTCTTTGGGGCCCTGTTGCTGCCTCACAGTGGAAATGTTCTGTCCTCCTTCACCGCCATGTCTCCAAGGTGGCTCAAGGAAACAAACGTACAGACTACCTGTAAGACCTGCTGTTTTCACCACCGTGTAGCCAGGTTGAAAATCCCCCTGGCGGCGTGCTCGATGCAAACTCTAACGGACAGGGACAGGGTTCCTCGAACCCAGGAAACTGGCCATGGCAGTGGTTCCCTGGTCAGGCACCGAGGCAGGGCCCAAAACAGTGATGGCACTCTGGTTACACCCACTGGACCCTAGGCTGAAACCACGGTCTTCCCCAAGCCATGGCAGTGGGTTTCCAGGCAACTCAGGTGGCACAGCCTCCTCACGAGCCATGACCAGTGACAGACTGAAGCCAGAGGTTTGGGCTGGTGGGGCGTGCCACTTAAGGCCAAGTCGTCTTAAGAGTCCGCCGGGGAGGGGCGTGGGGGAGCAGAAGCAATGGCCACCACCTTTCCTGGATCGCTCCTCCAACGTCCCAAGGACTGCTCCTCCCCGCACGACGCTCCGCTAGCCACTTCTCCCAACTGCGGCGGAGGCGGGCAGCTCCAATGAGCCTCTCGCCTTCTCCCTCGGCACTGAAGAACCACGCAGTGCAGGGACAATTGAATAGTGCCATTTATTGCCCCCGCACCACCTCTTCCACCATGCCAGGCGCCCCGTCCTCCGATGAGGCTGGCTAGGAGGCTGGTTCTGCCTCACTCCTCCGCAACCCCAAATCCAGGAGGGGAAGGGACGACTTGGGCTAGAAAATCGACAGGACCTCAGGGCAGAAAAAATGGATGGGAGGGATCAAGACGGTGGGTATGATTAAAGAAAACTCTACAAAGGAAGAGGCACTCTACCCCTTCCCTCTCTGGGATGCTCTCAAAGCAAAGGGCCGGGCTTCCCCGTTCCTCCAACACCGCAGCCCGCCCGGAGAGCGGAGGGCCGGCATCCCCACAGTCCTCCGGTCGTCCATCAGCTCGCCCGCGCGGAGCCCTGCAGGGTGGGCAGGCGGGGCGGAAGGGTGGGGTTGTGGCGGGGCGGGCGGGGCGGCGTGGCGGGCAGGCTGCAGAAGAGGCCCCAGGCCCACAGGTCCCCTCGTACGCTCAGGTGCCGCGAGCGCTCGCCCCTCTGTTCGTTCTCCTGGGGTCTCTGGGTCTCGCTCTCGTCCCCGCCCAGCCCGAGGGGCTCCACCCCCCCGGGCGTCCCCGCCCCTACCGGGCCTCCCCACCGCGGCACTCGGCGCACCGCCCACCAGCCGCCTCGTCGTCCTCGTCGTCGTCCTCCTCCCCGCCTGCCCGATAGAAGCTCTGTCCGCAGCCGCTGCAGACGGAGGGCGCGCCCACCGCGTGGATCTTCTTGTGTCTCCGGAGCGCGGCGCCCTGCACGAAGCCTTCGCCGCACTCCACGCAGATGTGCGCTGGCTCCTCGCCGCCCGCCGCCCCCAGCCCGTCCCCGTGCTGCGCCCGCTGGTGGGCCAGCAGCCCGGCTGCATGCCCGAAGCCCTTCCCGCATTCCATGCACACGTACGGCTTGGGCGCCGGGGCGCGCCGTGGACCGGGGCCCCGCCCGCCGCGCCCCAGCGCCTGCAATGGCCGCGCCGCCGCGGCGCTGTCACCCGGCGCGCCACCACAATGATGCCCTCGCCGTCGCCCACCGGGATAGCGATCTCGCCGTCCGCCGCCGCCGCCTCCTCGGGCGCCTTGGCGCGGCGCACGCTGGCCGCCAGCACCTTGGCCGCCACTCCGGGACCCGAAAGCTCCGGGTGCAGCCGCAGGTGGCGAGCCAGGCTCTTGGGCTGGCTGAAGCCGCGGCCGCAGCGCGGGCACACGAAGGGCTTGAGGCCGCTGTGCGAGCGCCGGTGCTTGGCCAGGCTCTTGCTCTGCGTGAAGCTGCGGCCGCAGTCGGGGCAGGTGTAGGGCTTCTCGCCCGTGTGGATGCGCTGGTGCTGCATGAGGTTGGAGCTCCAGCTGAAGCGCTTGCCGCACTCGGAGCAGGCATAGGGCTTCTCGCCGGTGTGGATGCGCCGGTGCTGCACCAGGTGCGAGCTCTGCGAGAAGGTCTTGCCGCAGTCGCTGCAGGCGTTGGGCCGCTCGCCCGTGTGCGTACGCTGGTGCCGCGTCAGCTTCGACCAGTGGCTGAAACTCTTGCCGCATTCGTTGCAAATGTAGGGCGCGGGGGGCCGGGGCCGGGGTGGGGGCCCGGCAGGGGGCGCGGACTGAGGTGGAGACAGCTTGGTCGGGGGCCAGCTGGGGACGTCGTCGTCATCCATGATGAGAATGTCCACTGGAAGGCAAGAGGGTGGGAAAGTAGAATCAGAGGCAGCTCACTGAGCGCCTTCTCCAGATCCCTCTAACCCGGTTGGGGCAGCACCCACTTTACAGGGCAGCTGGTGCGGTCACCATGCAGCTCTGCCTCCACCCCTCAATCCGTCACTGTACCATGGGGCACTGGTCACCCTTGGCATTTTACTAAGCTTTTTTCTTTTGTTATTCTTGTTTTTGTTCCCCGCCCCCCATGGTGGGGGGATTGAACCTGGGGCCTCATGCATGCTGGGCAAGCGCGGCTCTACCACTTGAGCCACGCCCCCAACCTTTTTGTTTGTATTTTGTTCCGGACAGGGTCAGCTAACTGCCAGGGCTGGCCTGACAGAAGCTGCCTGCATTACTATTTTTGCATTCATTACCCCTCTGGCCACTGAGACCTGAGCTGGGCAGGAATGGCCTTCCCCTCCATAAAGCTCTGTTAATCAAAGCCATCAGCATGGGTGAGAGGAGGATGAGTAACCAAAGCATGAGGCTGGGAGCAGGAAGGCTTCTGGGAGAGGACACTCCAAGGGCCTTAGTCAGGGCTAGACAATGCAACCAGCTGTGGGCCTCAGTGCTAAAGAGTGATGGTGTCACTGTGAGCTCTAGCAAAACAACCCAGAGAGGAAGGGGGAACCCCAGCTGGGGAGGCACACCAGTCCCTAGAGCAGCCTCCACTACAGTCCAGCCTCACAGACTGGCCCTGGGACAGGGGCTGCCTGCTCACTGCAGACAGTGAAGGGATGTGGGGCAACTTGAGCTGCACATCTGCAGCTCAGGGCCTTTCACACACAGGGGCCTTGCCGCCCTGGAGCCTGCCTCCTGACTTGACCGGCTCTTGGGGGCCCTGTGCACCTTACACGTTTGCTCTCCTCCTCGGCCTGCCCACCCCCAACTGCTCTCAGCCTCACTCTGTGATAGGAGAAATGAGGCCTACAATCACCCCCAAGGGTCTTGTTGAGGTGCATCCTGCCAGACACCCCAGGTGCATCATGAAGTTTTCTTTCAAAGCGGAAATCAATAGCCCTAATGCTCAGATCCTGTCTCCCAGGTAACAGCTGGCACAGTAAAGGATGATGGCCCTCCAAGGGCAGTGCTACAAACGGGCACAGCTGTGTTTGAATCCTGGCGCAGTAGGTGGTCAGAGGTTGAGTCTTCCCCAGAAGGAAACTAGGCACTAGGAACCTGAATCATGGTCCACGGCTAAAATCGAAAGGTGCCCAGGCCCAGATCTACACGGGTCCACCAGACAGCCTCTCCCTGAACACATAAAGTCCACCCCTCAGAGCGGGAGGAGGCCTGCAGAGAGAAGCCCCAGATGCACACCCTTAGGCCTTACTCCAGCCCCTTCAAGCGTGTTTTCACAAGTCCAGAGTGCTTCTGTCATCAAGTCTGAGAATCAGTGTTCTACAGCAAAGAATGCTGGAGTTGCCAGGCCAGAAAGAAAACTCCAGGTAAGAAGGTGGGGCAGTTTGGAGATGGCACAGAGTCCATTTGGTGCCATACGTTGTAAGCACATTCCAACGGAGAGTAACAAGCATCAAAGCTTTATGGTGGTGCAGGGGGCAGTGGGAGAGGCCGGCTTTCCACTGTAAGCTGAACCACAGGATGGGCTCCTCCAAGTGCTTGACTCCTTTAATGAAAGCAAATGTCTTGTTTTCTTTCAATTCTGAGCCTGGGACAAGTGGTGCTGGGGTGAGGGGAAGTGGCTGGATGGCATGGGGTGAACCCCCACCTCCCCTCAGGGCTGCCATGGGCTGAGCCCTGCAGGAGCCCCGTAACTGGAGCTGGGCAGCAAGCTAGAGGGAATGCTGTGGGGGAAGGTGTTCATGGGTGAGTGGTCCAAGGTGTCAGCCGTCTGCCTCCAGCTGTGACTTTCTGTGGGTGTCTGGTTTATTGGGTAGCACTGCCTTTTTTAAACAGTCATTCTGCACCCTGTTAGGTGGATGGACATGCCATTAATTAAGTGGCAGACTCCTTTTCATCTGGCTGACATGAGCTGGCTGAAACCCAAAACCTGCACTTCACCAGACTGGCCGGTTCTGAGGAGCACCAGAGCATGAGGGTAGTAGTACTGTGTGGAGGAGTAAACCAGATGGCAGGGTCAGGAGAAATGGGGCAGACAACTTTTCTACCTCAGCGTTGTCCTTAAAAGCACAACGGTAAGCGAGGGGTGTTGCTCAGTGGTAGAGGCCCTGATTTCATCGCAACAGCAGCAGGAGAGACACAGGAAGCTCCCAGGCAAAGAAGCACAGTGAGGAGCATAGGCCTCACTTCGGGAAGGCAGAAGGAATGAGGATCCAGCTCTGAGGTAGACAGAGATGACCCTTGGGGGAGAGCAGGGTCCTCAGTCACTGCCCTGTGCCCTGCAGATGCCATCATTGTTCTCTCTCTGAAGGAGGTCAGCTAGGGGCCAAGGCCTGCTCCTGCCCTGGCACAGAGGAGCAGTGTCCCCCTACCCCCACCCTAGATCTCCTCCCAAAGCAGCACTTCTGGCCTGGAGCTCCCATTCTGCTGTGTGAACCACACAGCAGCTACAGTCCACACAGCAGCTACATGGAGCCCCAAAATCAGATGCGGTGCTGAATATAAATAGATACACACAAGATCAGACAGCTTGGCCACCCTGGTGGGGCCCCTTTGTGCTCTCCCTAGCCCCCCACACCCCCAGCCCACAGCTGCAAGTGGGCCACTGCTCTGACTTGTGCTGTAATCATTCCTGTCTCTCTTCACACCTCTGTCACTCTAATCTGGTCCCCCAGAGGAGCCTCATGTCCTGGCCTTTCCTGCAGCATTCCTGTTGAAGAACAGAGCCACACAGCTTTCTGCTGCGCACACTGTTCAGCAGCTGGCCAGTGGCCTAAAGCCAGCACAGTGCTGTAGGCCATCCTAAGTGGAGGTCCCTCCTTTCCCAGTAGATGCATGATGTCTCAAGTCTTCTCAGGATGCCAACAGCTACCAATGCACAACTCAGGCCCAGGAAACCGTGGTGCATGCAGGTAGCTCTGTGCTGTGTGCTGGCAGCTATGATGATGCCTAGTCACTTCGTCATCTGCAAGCTGGAGCCAGGGTTGGACTGCATGTGGTGAAGGAAGTATGAATGTACACTCCCCTGGTTGCCAGTCTTCAAGACAATGAATTGATCCCTACCCTCCTGCAAGGGAGGCCCAACAGTCTCCCTTCCAACATCGTCCCAATTCTCCCTTGAAAAGTACCTGGGGCCACACCCTCACTCAAGCTGACATGGCAGGGCAGCCATGAGGAGTGGTGGGCCTCATCAGCACAGCCTGTCTTCCCTACTCCCTCCGGCTCCAGATCTGAGGCCCTGACTAGATTTCAGAAGCAGAATCAGGAAACATGCATTGCTTTTTATTTTTTAAAGATACAATTCCTCATGAGTCCACACTGACATCCCCTTACAAACTCAGGACAGAAGGTTTTTACTCAGCCTTCTCCACAGGACGTCTGCGACTCCCTCTTCCCCAGTAAGACCCAGGCTCTTAATGCCCAGCGTTACACACAGGCTTCACCCAGCTGCAGTATTGGCAGAGCCACACTGGCACTGGCACTGCCAGTTCCAGGGCACGACACAAACCCAGGGGATCACTGACCTCATTCCCCTCTTGTGCCTCCATCAGGTGCACAGAGACAGCCTCGTCCTCTCTTAGTCCTCAGAGCCGGCCTCTGTGCACTTCTGTCCTGTGTCCACCTCTCTGGCTCATTTGCCATTAGTTCCTCAGAAAGGATGCCTAGTGCAGAATTCTCTGGGGTCCAACCTTGCTGGCCACCTCTGCTCACCTCTCTCCGGGAGCAGATCATTTTCATCTGGCCTGAAGCATTTCTGCATTTACCTTCCCTTCAAGCCACTTGCTCTCTGCCAAGACACCCACCTGAAGGACCTGCTTCTTTAAAGTTGGTGGCTTCTGTAGTGTGTCCTTGGTGTTTATCTGTGTTGATGTGTGCACATTTGTGATTCGCTCTTTCACTACACAGGTTTTAAATTTCAAGGTTCTTACAATTTATTCTATTCCTTTGCTTTGGACTTTCTCTTCAGGGACTCTGAACTATAGGACTTTCTTTGCCTAATTCCAATGTCCTTTACTGTTTTAATCTTCCTTCACTTCTTTTTCATTTTACAATTATCTTACTTTCCACCTTCAATTTTCTGAAAAGACCTCAATTGAGTTCCATCTAGTCTTCATTCTAAAATGACTGTGTTCTCATTCCTAGGTCTTTGCTGGGTTTGCCCCTCATTTCTGAGTTCCTGTGGGTCTTCTACTTGCCATGCCAGCTCTTGGAGTATCCTGTATAATCCTGACTTCCGTGGGGGCCAATCTATGGCCACCTGTGTGCAGAAAGCCTGTTTTCTTTTTTAGTTTAGTAACCTTCTAAACTGGAGAACTGGCCTTGGCACAGCTCTGTTGCTCTTTCTATGGGTAGGTGTCCTGAACTTCTGGAAGGCAGTGAGGTATAACTTCTCAGCTGTGCTCATATCATGATCACACAGATGGCCACCTCCACTCCCACATGCCCGGGCTTTGCCTGCCATAGACCCTTCCTTCCTCCCTGTTGGCGAGGACAGGGGCCCAGCAGATTTCTTCCTTGGGGTCTAACCCTGCAGGGTTATGCATGCCTGATTTGAAAACTCCAGCCCTCTGGGCCTCCCTAGCCTCTCTCCTCTTACACCAGTCTGGACAAACAACTCCTACTTCCACTGCAAGTCTCAAAGCTCCCCAAGCAACCCAGTGAACACCTGCAGGAGACCACCTCTGCTTTCTGGCCATCCTGACCAAAACAGGCCTGGGGGACAGCTTATCCACTTCCACCCCCACTGGAGCTCACAGTGATGTCTTAGGCCTCATGTGTGGTTGGTGAGGTTCAGGGGCCTGTCCATTGCACACTGGAGCTCACAGGGCCGCCTTGGACCTCATGTATGGTTGGTGACGTCCAGGGAATTGAGCTTGTCTTCTGTGTCTTCACAGGGGGATCTGGGAATGTGAACACCCTACAACGAGCTCTCCCAGGAGCTTCCAAGGCACCCTTAGCATGAGCACCAATGCTCCAGAGGGCAGGCGGAACCTTGCTGCCCTAGCAGGAGAGCTCCAAGATACCAGACAGAAGCCCTTGTTAGGAGAACTCTCCTTGGAACCAGTATCTCCTCACTTGGTCATTTGTGGTTTCCCTTCTGAGCATCTGACAGCTAAGGCGCAGAAAAGCCTGTGTGGCTCTCCCCACCTGCCACAATTCCACTCCACAATGGGAATTCCAAGCTGGGCCATCACTGCCCCAAAAAAGCACCTGGGAGCTGCTCTGACCCTGGGGCGACCAGCACACCTCCACCTCATCCCTGACCCCAGCTTCTACCCAGGCAAGCGGCTCTCCCTGTGTCTCCAACACCCTCTGAAAAGCGAGCTTGCTCGACAGGCAACCCAACCTCCCAGGGCTCCATGCAAATGCAACAACGAGGAGGTGGGCAATGACGGCGGGACACACAGGACATGCCACTATCAGTCACAGTATCAGCTTCCTAGCATACTAAAGTTCAGGAAAAAACCTACCTCTTCTGAGGTTCTAAATGCCCTGGGCAAATGCATCTCAACTCAGCCCTCTGAACCAGCCCTTCCTCATTCAGCACCCACCATCCAGGGCCATGCTCACTACAGACAACAGCCATCAGTGGCTGGTCACAGTTCCACAGGGGATAATGGACAGTGGCCACCATTTAAAAACAGGACAGATGATGAGAAAAGCAGTAAAGGTTAGTGTGTGCTTCTGGTACAGTCAGGATTTGTGCCAAGCCTCACAAAAATGGCAACCTGGGACAACACCTGTGATTGTGTCTGTGTGTACAGGTGAAGGTGACAATACAGGCTATCTAGTCTCACAGAACAGTCTGAGGAACACTGAAGCAAGGTGTCATAGGGCCAGGTTATTAAAATAAGGAAGCCACCTGCCCTTGGTGACAGACACAAGGTGTCCTACTGTGCCTCTTCTCTGGGACCTTCCTGTCACTAGGTTGGCATCACCTACACAGAGGGAGAGGGGAGAGAAAGGTGTCAGTGGGCCGGGATAGGGCTTCGGTCAGCAAACTTGGGCATCAAGCAGCTCCAAATGAGTTTTTATTCAATCTGATAATGCTTCATTAAACCAACAAAGCACTGCCAGCATTCAAAAGTAAAGAATTCACATTAAACCCACAAGCTTGCCCTAAAACACACACCCTCAGGCTCCCCATCACTGTCTGTCCCCAGACTCTCACTCACTCATCTCCTCCAGACCCCCAAATTTGTATGGCCGCCCTGGTATGAACAGCTGCTCTCCAGGCACAGTCATGGGGCCCTGGAACCAGAGCAGAGGAGGCAGAGTGGGTGGGGCTGGGGGGGTGCTGCCCTGGCCAAGAGGTACACAGGAAAAAGATGGAAGGGGGCCCCCAAGGCCCCAAAACACCCTCACTGGACAGACACCTGGAGCCTGGGACTCCAGTGCCTTGCTCTGAGCTGGGCATGTGGGGCCCTAGAAAGGAGGGTGCAGAAGGCACACGGGAAGAGGGACCTCCGCTAAGCAGAAGGGCAGTGTGTTAGCTACAGAACTACCTGGGTCGCCTCACCTGGGTTCTCGTGACTGGCCATCTGCTGGTCCTCAGAGTCCAGCGGCCCCGGAGACCAAGCCTCTTCCCGCAGTTCCATGTCTGGGTCCCTGTTGGAAAGGGATAAGATGTAAGGTCGGCGTTTACAGAATGTCAGACAGGACTGAAGGCAGTGGAAGGCAGCCACTGCATGGACCTGAGTGCACAGGGCCTGCAGCATGGATAGAATGAAGGAGGGGGCTGGGCTAACTGGGCCCCCCCCTCACAACACAACCCTGAGAGGAGTGCGGCCCCCACGCCATGACCCTGAGGGAGGAGTGCAGCCCCCACCAGGGCTCTTGCCCCACTGTACTTACAGCTAGGACCTGGGTCTGTTTCCTCATGGGTAAGGTTGGGCGCACCACAGAGTACATCAGGCTTAAAGGATGATGCAGACTTAAGACACTTGTTGGAGGAGGGGATCCTGACCTGCAGCAAGGTGGGTCCTTGAACGTGCGGCAGAACAGTGGGAATTGCAGCAGCCAATGAAGGCACGACTCTGGGGCCAGGCTGTCCTAGGCACCTACATAGCACGTGGCATCACCCTCAGCAGTGCCGCTGGGCAAGCGGCAGAGGCACAACCCAAGTCCTCTGAGGAGTTCTCACTAGTTTCTCTTTCAAAACCAAATCAGGCCAAATGCAACGGGGCAGTTCCCAGTGGGCCCTGGAAAAGGACTAACTGGCCTTCCAGGGCCTCCATGCCTGTGATGTACAGGGGATCAAGAATGGCAAGGCTGCCCTGTGGCTTCCAGACACTGACCTTTCATACACCAGCCCTGACTTGACACAGGTGCCAACTTCTACAGCCAAACAAGAGCACGAAGAAATCTCACAAGTGGAAGCCCCACTCCCGGGCCAGGCACCGTGGCCTGGCTCTGAGCCCCTGACATCCAAGGCCACAGGGCTGCCACAACCCACTCCACAGGGCCAGCCTGAGGCACAGTTGTTCCAGGCCAGTCAGCAGAGGGCTGGGCAAGGCCCACCCTCAGGAGCACCCTGGACCACATAGCCCACCTCCCTCCAGCCAGCTAAGTGTCCCTCCAGGCCGAGATCCCACAAGGTCTGAGGGACAATCACCTTCAGAGGCCTCACCCCTACCCACCTGGCCTTTCTCCTCAGCCACCGTCCTCTCATTTTTCTGCTGTCCTATCCTCCCACCACGTCAATACCATCCCAGTACCCATGAGGACCCAAGCACCCAACGCAGTGGCAGGCACCCCAAGTGCCTCAGCCTAGCCAGGAGGGGGATGCACAGAACATGTGAGCTTGGGGTGTGGGTTCAGCTCTGAGCAGCTCAGTGGCCATCCTAGGGCAGCCATGTGGCTCTGGAGTTGTCAGAGCAACTAGTAGCTCAGTGCTAATCAGGTAACCACTCTCTGAAAACCTATACCTGAGGAGAAGCATCTTGCTGGAGAACAGTTAATCACAGCAAGGTTTAGTATGGGAAAACTGGAAGGACCCAGCAGCCCAAAGAGGAGAAAGTGTCAGCAAATTTAGGATTGTGTGACAAAGACAGGGCTCCCATTCCCCTTTCTCCATGTTTCCTACCCTTCTGACAGCAGTTGATTGCATCTGTCATAAGAAAAAGACTAAAGCAGATGTTTTCTGACAGCCCTAAGTACCACAGAGGGTTGGGTGTGAGGAGGGCAAGGCCAGTAAGGGCTGTCAGAACCCACCCAGAGTGTGTCACTTGGCAAGGGACAGTTCCAACCCCAAGACCTGTGGGAACAGATGGTTCCCTGTGCTTCCTGAAGGCTGGGGTGCAACTCCTGTCCGGGGAAGCAGGACACCTTATCACAGGGATGAAGCCAAGGCCAAGGGCCTTCTGCACAAACAGGCCAGGCCATCCCCAGTCTCTTAGGCTGTCCTTAACATTGACTCTTGTCACCTACCACAGGAGCATGGAGGCCCCTCATACATGTAGGATGATCCCTGTACTTTTCTCCTGTTCCTGTTTATGTCAACTTAATTATCAGACCCAGCAGGAGACCCTTAGAGAAAGAGAAAGTTATGCCTCCCTTACACAGGACATAAAACTGCAGGGTCTCAGATGACACAATGCCAACATCAAAACACAAAGGAAAACCTTCCAGTATACTGGATTTGCAGGGGAGGGAGGGCAGGTGGTGTCCCACCTTGGAAAACAGTCTGCCAATTCCCCAGTGGCAAACCTGAGTTACCATGACCCTGAGATCTGAGATCCCAGCCCCACGCACACCCATACCCGCACTCGCACACACACATTCGAGACACTATCCACAATGGCCAAGGTAGACGCTGAGGGACAGGCTGCATGTGTGAGGCGGCCAAGTCAGGCCCAGGCCAGGTACAGCCACAAGCAGGAAGCAGGCCAGTGGTGCTACCAGTCAGGGTGGGAATCAAAGTGACTGCTTAAATGGAGGTGGGTTTCTTGGAGGGTAACAAAAATGTTCTGGCACTAGAGGGCAGTGATGGTTATGCAACTTTGTGAATGTATTAAAAGCCCCCAAATTGTGCACAAATTTTCACTACACAAATATCTTAATAGAAAGTAAAGTTTATGGGCTGAAGCGGCTCAAGTGGTAGGTACCTGCCTAGCATGTGTCAGGCCCCGAGTTCAACTTCCAGCACCACCAAAAAGAAAAAAGGTAAAGTTTTTAAAAGTGTACAAGTCTGCTGATTACAACAGCATACATATCAAAAGTGCATGAGAAAAAACAGGACTAAAGCTGCAGAGCACTGCAGGAGATGGGGAGGGCAGCTGCCCTCTAGAAACTTGTCTGCCAAGTAGATAAGGAGTTTCCACTGAAACAATAAACCCCAAACTCCACAGCAGGGACTTCCCAGCTCTGGCCCAGTTCCCACAGGGAGAAGCAGAGCCAGGATAGAGGAAAGGGGGTGGGGGGAGGGGGGAATAAGCCTACCCTCCACTTGCCTCTCCTCTGCTGGATGTCTTGCCAGTAGACAGATGATGGCCTCTAACCACCACAAGCCAGACCCAGGCAGGAAGGCCATAAGCATGGACGCCAACACATTTCTGTGCAAGGTTAGGGCCAGGAAGAAACCAGACAGGGGAGAGGTGGAGGGGCTAAGCCTGAGCTGGGAAATTCCTCCCACCAAGAATGGCTGCTACCTTTAAGTGGGCACATTTTAAATGTTCTACCTACACGAATTACAGCTCTGGTTTGCCTCTCAATCTGTAAAGCCTAAAATATTTACATCCAACCCATGAGAGAAAGTTTGCTGACCCAGATGTGAAAGAACAGGTATGCAAGATGAGGGGAAGCAGGACCCACAACAAGAGTCACAGATCCAGCATGGGCTCAGTGCTGTGTGGCTGCTGCCCTGAAATTCCTGATCATTTTATCTGCAGATCCAAGCCTATGCATAAGGTCCAATGGGACAAGGGAGCAGGTGCTAGAGACTCTTGCCTGCTGGCCCTCACCCCTGGTAGAGCGGGGACACAGAGAGGTTGGCCTGCATCCCATGGGTGAAATACCACAGAAAATACCCTGATGGATTTAGAGGTACCTCAGGAGGAAGCAAGGCTCTCCTCCCACCCTTCTACACAGGTTTGCACTGGGCCCTGCCAACAGGCCTGGGGTGGCAGAAGGGGCGCAAGGGGTGAAGGCTGGAGCACAGGAGTGGTTGTCAATTTCACCAAGGCCCACAGGTGCTCCTTCAGAGCAGACAGACTCTGTCCTTCAGACAGCAGAGTTACTCTGCAGGGCAGTCCCACACTTAGCCAGGGAGCTGACACTGACCTGGCAGACTTAAACAAGCCAGGTGGAGCCAGGTGAGGGCAGGCCCAGCAGCGGCCCAAGCGTCCTCTCTTCACCTGGATGTCCCCCTGCTGTAGTCCCACTTCTGGCCTAGAAGCCAAACCCAGGCACACCACTGCTGCATTGTGACCTGGGGCAAGTCACTCGGCCTCTGTCCTATGCTGCACCCTCTGTAGGTCAGGAACACCAGATGCTGGAAGAGTTGTGTGGGGAATGGAGTGACGCTGGTGAGGCCAAATCGGGCAAAGGGCTTAAGAAGTGCATTCACTAAATGTTACCCCATCCTCTTTCTCTGTCACTCATTCCCTCGGACACTGCTGAGCCCTTTCATCCTAACCCTGGGGGCTCCCAGTCTGCGGGGGTGAATGCAGAGTGAGGGGAGCCCAGCTCCCTGGAGAAGCCCTCCACCAGCTTTCAAGAAAACCCCAGGCAGGAATGGAGCACTCCTCAGGGGTAGAGCTCCTGCCCAGCATGTGCCAGGCCTTGAGTGCCATCCCTGGGTTGCATCTCCAGTACCCCACACAGAAAATCAAGGAATGGCCCAGGCCACTCGAGGAACCAACGTAACTCAGGAACTCAGGCCTTCTGAATGGAGTCTGATGGTTCCCTCTCCACCTCCCCTACCCCTCAGTCCCATCCAGCATCTCCAGGCTCTCAGGCAGCAGATGCCTGACCTCCACCCTCCAGGGGAAGGAGGGGAGGGTGCCTGCCCTGGCCCACCCCGGCCAAGCCCTTGAGCGATCCAATTAGTGCATGGATCTAACAGGGCTATTAAGCCCCAGACAAATTATTGTTATTATTGTTGTTATTAGGTCCCGCCCACCCCCTTTGGATGCCTGCCTGCCAATTATCCCATACCTTTGTTCTACTGCCAATCTCTCCTCCTCCTCCCCTGCCACTGGAATTGAGCTCTGAAGTTGCCCCTCCTGGCCCAGCCCCTCCCTGCTGCTCACTTCCCCAGCCTGGTCTCCTCTGGTCCTCTCCCTCCACTCACAGACCCAAGTGGCCACCTTCACCTCCTTCCTACCTCCCAGTTGTCTTCTGGCCACCAGTCCTCTTCCTACTTTGTTCAAAGACCCTGTGTGGTATCCTGGTCACCAAGTCCTGCTTGCATCCCTACAGCACCATTAGACACACGAACCCATCACCTCCCCCTTCCTGCAGTGAGCAGGATGCAGTCCCCTCTTTCCCTGTCTCCTCCCCCTGCCCATCCCAGCCATTGCTCCTAGGAGCCTCTGCGCCCTCGGCCTCAGTCCTGGCTCTACCTCTCCTCTCACAAACCCCCTCCCCACCACAACCAGCTAAGCTTT